CATCCATTGTGTGCATATCTTTAATGGTTCTTGCACTAATGTAAGTTAGCTTTTATCTACATCAAATTCCATCTGGCAAGAGTGGGCCCTTATCCCATTGAAGGTTATCAGTCTCTCTTACACTGCTCACCTGGTTACACAGTTTGATGTTTTATTTTTTGGCCAGCCGAGTGTGTGGTACATGCAGAAACCCATCACTGTTCTGAAATAAAATGTGAAGCTTTGTGGAGTCCTGTAATAATAATAATAATAATAATAATCTTTGCATTTGATATAGCGCTTTTCACGTCGGGAGGACGTCCCAAAGCGCTTCACAGAACACACTGTAAAGTGAATTGACTGTATATTTGTGGGCAAACGCGGCAGCCAATTGCGCACAGCAATGTCCCACAAACAGTCGTAGATTGAAAATGACCAATTTATTATTGTTTTGGGTTTTTGGAGGGATTATTATTAGGCTCTGTGTGGAGTAAGGAAACTTGCCCAAGGTTTCCCCCTGACCTGCCTGGAATTGAACTCAGGTCTCTCGCTTGCAAAGCGAGTGCTCTAACCACTGAGCTACAGGACTCCATTGTATGCTGCAATCAGCAAATTGTCCCTCAAGGGCAGGCTGTTTTCTAAATAAACCTGTCACATTCTGTACTATCTAACCTGGTATCTGTGAATAGTATTCTCACTAAATCATACATAAATACAGTGTTATTTTTCATCTGACAAGGAGCCAGTGGAGTTTGGCAAGGACTGGGGTAATCGGGGTTCAGAGTTTAGTGCGGGTGAGAATGCGGGCATCGGAGTTTTGGATGAATTGAATTTTGTGAATAGTGGAGGAGGGGAGACTGACGAGGAGGGCATTTGAGTAGTCCAGCCAAGTGGTGACGAAGGTGTGGACAAGGGTTTCGGCAGCTTGTGGAGTGAAGTATTGTCAGAGACGGGCAATGTGGCAGAGGTGAAGGAAAGACCAGATTTGATTTGAAAGGCTCAGTGGTTAGAGGACTCGCTTCTCAAGCGAGAGACCTGGGTTCGATTCATGGCAGGGCAAAACCTTGGCCAAGTTTCCTTACTCCACACGCCTAATAATAATCCCTCAAGAAAAAAAACAATAATAAATTGGTCACTTCAATCCATGACTGTTCGTGGGACACTGAGGTGTGCAATTGGCTGCCATGTTTCACTCAGAAATATACAGTTTACAGTATATTCTGTGAAGCACTTTTAAGACGTCTCAAAGACCTGAAATCACTATATCAAATGCAATGATTATTATTATATTGTAAGAACCATCCAGTAGTTAGGATTTATGAACTCTACCATAGAATTTACGATCAATAGAATTCCCAGAAGTCTTGCATTGGTACAGGGGGGAGGTAAACACTTGGATGAACAGTGGTATCAAGTTAACAGGTTAATGGATCAGTTTGGGGGAGGTCATTCATTACCAAATATAATATTAATTTTATAAATGAGTCCAGTAAATAAATAGATGAGTACACAAATAGATAAATAAATAAAAGGGTGTGAAGCTATTTATTGAACAACTTCTTCAGAACAAAACCATGTTGGAACCTTTTTCTAGAGCATCTCTTTCAAAATGCTTTGAGACTTCTCAAAGATGTGATAAGGCGCTATATCAAGTGCAAGGATTACTATGATATCTCTTCAACTCATAAATATCTCTTCAAGCTATGAAGCTATTTAACATCACTAAGTAATAATTTTTATTCCAGTAATTTAACTTTTCAGTTTCAAAAAAACTGACCTCTTAGAACCTGTTATTATCAGAATATTTGAACAGCACACATGTTTTTGCTTTTAGACAATATTTATTAAATTAAAAATGTGTTTATCATGTTGCTGAAGTATCTATTTTCCAACTTTGTAATGAATCTTTTGACACAAAAGCACAACCCATTCACATGTCATCTGGGAACAATTAGTGATTTCTTTTCATGTGTTCTGGGAAAATTGTGCAACCCAGATGCATATGAAGCAGCTTTGGCATCAACTGGCATGCTTAACAAATAGCATGTGCAAAAATAAATCTTTAATTGTAACCATAACTTCCTGTATAGTTTGAAATTGTTGGAGCTGCTGCGCAGTCAGGGTGTTTAGATTTGAATATTGGAAACACAGTGCAAAATTGAACTGTTAAAAAAAAATCTCCAGTAGCTGGCACTAACTCACAAAAAGTTAAGTCAATAAAGGTACATGACGGATATTGTAAAATAGTGTGAATTAAAAGTTTGGAGTGAGCTTGTCAAATGGGATTGAGGCACTATCAGCTAGTTCATGTATCAGTCGGCTGCATTCACATCATCTTCGTATTGGGACTTTGCTGTGTCCTCGATTGGGAAGGGTAATGGATTTGATTAATAAAAGTATTAATTGAAATGCTCATCAAGGAGTATCACTTGGCTATGGAAAAATATAAATTAGTTATCTGTTCCATAGATTAATTGGAGGTTATTTAATGTTCATTTAAGAGATGTGTGAACTGTATTTTTTTCTAGTTTCCCCTGCTCTAAGACGTTAAAGTCACTCATTTCAACAACAGCTGCTTGTCACTGCATATTTTTTAACATGTGTTATACTTATGGACTATATAGGTCAAGGAGCAATAATTTCTCTAACCTGTGAGCAGAAGTGCAGAGGAAATATTGGTACTTTGGGCTATGTGTATGAAATTTGAAATAAATATATTTAAATAATTTCTTGTTTTCACTTTGAAATGAGTTGTGTGCCATCATAACACAGCAATAATTTTGGCATAAAAATAGCATTAAAAAAACTTTTAAACGTTTAAAAAAATGTTAATTTACAAAATATTAGACACTCGTAACATTTGTCCAAGTAGCTCTGAAGCCAATTTGTTTTCATTCTTCCTCATTTTATCTCTCACCAGGTTTCTCAGCTTGATCTGGTAATTCAGATAATCTCTTTCATCTTTTCCATACCTCCAACTCTAACTCTTACTGTGATAACCTAGGCTTTAGCCACCACACACTTTCCCTCTGAAGCTATCTTCCAAAATTCCTTTGCCTTGCTTTCTCTGTATCTATCTTCAAAACCTTCCTCAAAGCATATCTCGTTGTTTGCGCTTTTGGTCAACATACTTAATTCTCCTTACTTGGTGGTTCCTTTCAACTTTGACACCATTTTCCTATGTGACCGGCACTATATATGGTACTGTATATTTAGTCCTGTAACGTAGTGGTTAGCGCACTCGCCTCGCAAGGGAGAGAGTTTGATTTCCAGTCGGCGAAATCTTAGGCAAGTTTCCTTACTCTGCACGCTTCTATTTATTCAGCAGTAAGTAGGAACCTGGTTGTTAGCCTATTGGTGGATTGCTTTCCAGGGGTTATAATCTCTTATCCACGACTGTTTGTGAGAAACTGTTGTATGCAATTGGCTACCGCGTTTCACCCACAAGATACACAGTCACTCCACTTTACAGTATATTCTGTGAAGTGCTTTGAGACGACTTGACAATGTGTTAATAATAATAATAATAATAATAATCCTTGCATTTGATATAGCGCTTTTCACGTCGGGAGGACGTCCCAAAGCGCTTCACAGAACACACTGTAAAGTGAATTGACTGTATATTTGTGGGCGAACGCGGCAGCCAATTGCGCACAGCAGAAGGTGCTATATCGAATGGAATAACAACAACAACTTGCATTTATATCGCGTCCTCCACGCGGGGTAGCGTCCCGGAGCACAAGGATTATTATTATTATATAAATGCAAGTTATTGCTGAACCTGCCAATCTGTGGTTTTGTTCTGCTTTGACACAAGAATGAGTTTCAGGTGTTTATCTGGGAAAGTTCCAGAAGCCGTGTGTGAAGTAATGTGTGAAGCTTTGACGCTAGTATTCTTTTTTAGATGCTGAAGTCAAAGCAGATGATTTGGATTTGATTTACTGTATCACAACATCGACCTTGCCTATTTTACCTTAAGATTCTGGGCTGAGAACACTGTAGCCAGTGATTGTATTGGAAATTGAAAACCATAGCACCAGAATTAGCTGCAGCTTGAATGTTTATTGGCTTCCGATTTCAGAAAAGATTGTTGAAGTGGTTCCATTCAAATATTGAGCCAAACTACTCTTTAGTCTGTGATCAATGCACTTTAATGGACTTGTGCTTTTGCCTTTTCCCCGCTTTTAGCAAGCCAAGTAATCATGATTGGAACATTATGAGTGAAATCATGTGTTTGAGCTCAAGACAAATCTCAGCAAGAATTGTAGTGTTGAGGTGTGACCTACGTGTAGAATTCTTCTAAACTCCTCTTCAAAGTAACTGGTTACAGTCCCCTTGAAAAGATAAAACAATCGCCAAACCTTTTAGGATTTTTGGTAGAACCTGGTATCTCTTTCCCCCCCCATCCCTTCACATCACACATGGTCATTATGTTTGGCCTGAACACTGCTTCCTCGCTCCACATGGAGTCCCTGCCAGCAGCCTTGTGTCTCTGCCAGAAGAGAAGGTGTCAATGACTAATGGGCACTCAAAAAACAACTAGGATTGATTTACTCTCCTACATAGTGAAGTACAAGTAAGGTTTGCAACATACTGAATTTAATACAAACCGCCCATTAACTGCCCATGAACACTCATTGCAGCAGTCGTCTCTGATTAGGTTGGTAATTTCAGTCATGGTGACTATTTCCAGCAAGCAATGTATGTAATTGCCCACAAAATATACAGTCAATTCACTTTATAGTGTATTCTGTGAAGTGTTTTGAGACATGTCGAAGACGTGATAAGGCGCTGTATCAAATGCAAGCATTATTATTATTATAACACCTTTCATATCAGGAGGACATCTCAAAGCCCGTCACAGGATATACTGTAAAATGTGGTAACTGCATATTTTGTAGATAAATATGAAACCTTCATAAACTATGAAACCTTTGTGCACTAATTTTAGCATAGAAGAAAGTTGTTGTATATATATATTTATACCAAACATGAATATGTGTTTTTGTAAACCCGTATAGGATGCTGGAGAATTTGAAGAGGTGAATGTGCCTGAAGAAAAGGAGCCACTAAAGAATGACCTCAATTTACTCAAAGTGAGTATTTCAGTGGTTGCACGTTTGGGGCAATTAAAAAGAAATCTGAAGAAAAAGAATTTCTGTTCAACATACTTTTATCTAAAGTAGAATACAAGCCCACAAATATGTTACATATACCGTGAGGAATCCTTGTATTGGGCATTGGCTGGAACTCACCTCTTCAGGGGTTTCACAGTTTCATATTCATATGTATTCATATTTCATACTTCAGGGGAGGGTAAGAGAATTACCTTGGGGCCCAGGGACATCTCAATCGTCTTTAATCTGGCAAATCATCCTACTGGAGACTGTTGTGGAAGAAAAGAGTTCATAGTCCATTGGTTGCAATCTATTCACCAGAATTTTATTGGACTTTCTATACGAGACCATACTGGAGAAATTGAATGAAGATGGCATACAATGCAACAACATATATTTGTATAGAATACCTTTCACAATGGGAGGATGCCCCAAAGGTGTCAACAGTCCAGGGTTTGCATTTGAGGCACTATAGGGGCATAATAGCGGAATGGTACTGAAACTGAAGACTCGTGTTGCTAGGAAGATGAAATGTGGCCTTAAAGGACAGGCGCTAAAATATTCCCATGGGAATTTTTAGCTTGAGATTTTATTTACGGTATATAGAGTAAGATTTAATTCAGAGGAATTTACAGAAATAACAGTAAATAGGCTGGAACCATACTCTTAATTATTTAATATCTATCATTCGGGGCTTGGCCTTCAGTCTACAGAACCTTAATCAGTCTTTAGTTGTAGGTTGGTTTTGTACTTCTCAGTGTTGGATTCTATTATACTTTTCAATGTGTAATCGTTAGTGACTATGCTGTTTTACCTTTGCTATTCACTTATTCTTTGGAAAGCAGTGCTAACATTAAAATTGACTTTTGGTTTTATTTATAGAGGACATCATTGGATATTATTGATATTGGAAAAGGCTTGAAAATGCAGTCAGAACGACCTCACCTGGTCAGCCTCGGAAGGGGACGCCTCAGTATTGCCATCACGTTGTTGCCAATTAATGAAGGTATTGAGAGCAGCATGAGAATTCCTTGCCTTTATACAAACCAAATTTGCATACAAACAGCGAAGTGTCAGTCTGGCTCGGTTGGTAGCACTTTCGTCTCTTAAGTCAAAAGGTTCTGGGTTCAAAGAGATGGGAGTTTCTCCTGGTGTCTTAGCTAACAATCCTTCAGATAAAATTTGTCATTCACTTCATGAATGATAGTGGACATACTGCAATCGCCTTCAAATACACAGTCACTACACTCTATACTAATCCCATGAAGCACTCTGAGACTTCTCAACCACGTGATAAGACACTATATTAAATGCAAGAATTATTATTTGGGTTAATTGTGTATCTGCTGAGTATAAGCAACAATAAATTTCCTGATGTAGGATAATATTATACTGCAAACTAACTATGTTGTTTCTTAATCCTTTCAGTGATTATAAGCATTTCTGAATTTACAGAAATAACATTAACAGAAATAGCCTGGAACCATACTCTTAATTATTTAATGTCCATCATTCGGGGCTTGGAATTCAGTCTACAGAACAAGGTTTCGGTACCTCAAAAACTCCTCTATTGGAATTGTATGGTTTTTAGAGCAAATGGAGAGAACATTATATTATATTACTGTACACAAAGATAAACACACAAAATTAATCTCACTCTGGAAAAGGTAGTTTAGTTTATTACAGTATAAAATTCAATAAATATGCTTTTCCTAATTATTCTCCCTGGAGTTTATTGCAATCAAACTAATAACTGTACATTCTCTGCTTGCTTAATTATTGAGTCATTTGAAAGCATATCTAACCCTGAGCATAGTCAGCTAGACTCCCTTGGGATTGTTACATTCCTGGGAAACAACTGTATTTTTCTTATACTGTACACCCGTTGGCTGGCTACTACCTAATTTCCAGCCTGCAGAAATTATTTTCATGCAGCTCATTTGAATATTATTCAAGTTGTATCATATAACAATAAGCCTTGCATTTTCTGTAGTACCTTATCAGTCGTCTCAAAGTCAAGATTTAATGTGAAGTGTAGTGTATGTGTATATGAAAGTGAACTTGGAAGCCAATTTGTGCACAGAGGTGTCCCACAAACAGCCATGACTTGAACGAGGAATTGTATTTTCTTTCAAATGCTGGTGTAGATGAGTTTAAAATGAAAATGTTAGGAGTAAGAAAGGAAGTCAAGCAGAAAGTTTATATAAATGTGGACTTGTGGAGTCCTGTAGCTCAGTGGTTAGAGCACTCGCTTTGCAAGCGAGAGACCTGAGTTCAATTCCAGGCAGAGGGCGAAACCTTGGGCAAGTTTCCTTACTCCACACGCCTAATAATAATCCCTCCAAAAACCCAAAACAATAATAAATTGGTCATTTTCAATCTACGACTGTTTGTGGGACATTGCTGTGCGCAATTGGCTGCCGCGTTTGCCCACAAAATATACAGTCAATTCACTTTACAGTGTGTTCTGTGAAGCGCTTTGGGACGTCCTCCCGACGTGAAAAGCGCTATATCAAATGCAAGGATTATTATTATTATTATTATTATAAAAGGTAATATTGTAAACAATGGAATAAGTTACCAGGCAAGAGAGAAAATTAAAGGGGTTTGGTGCTACAGGATTCCACACATGGCTGAATCTGCTAACCCCTGTTTCAAGTGATTAATTTAAGATTCAAATGAGCCTAAATGGACAGAGTGGTGTCCACAGAACAGAATGAGCCTTTCGGTTCATTGAGTCTATACCAGATCTCAGAGCAAGCGGCCCATTTAATCCCACTGCCCTGCTTTTCATCAAACCCCTTCAAGCCTTTTGTTGGATAACCCTTTACGACTAAATAGACAATTAACTGGGAACAAATGAAAGTATAAACAGAGATTCTGGGAGAACAATTTGCAGTATTGGAAACAGAGAATAAAGGGATAACTTAGTATACCAGTGTTGTGGATTGTGAATCGTTACACCTTTATCTTTCATATACTTGCCTGCTTCCCTTTTGAAACCAAATGCAGTTCTGTTTCTATCACTTTCCATGTCCCAAAACTTTCAACGCATTCTAAAAACCTGTCAAACTACTATTTCCAGTGCTGACTGTCAGTTAAACTCATGATATGTACTGATTACGACAACAACAAGATTACATTTGTATGATTACTGCTTGTATTGTGAATAATCCATATTATAAATCTATCAAATTATAAATGTAAGATTGACATTGTGTAAACGTATGCAGGTAGCAGCAGTGAACACTTATTGCAACAATGTTTATTTCATGAAACCATATGACTGCATATCTTGTTTCATTACATTTGCATTTACTCCAATAGTTACAAAGTGCCAAAAGAATACATAATTGCTGTGTTCCTTTAATAGCTACGTCTTTTCACGTGAATCGTTACCTTGAAAAACATACTACTTCAGTGTTACTATTTATTTCATGGTGGACACATTGTTTATGGAGTACCAGCCTGTCCTTAACATATTTATGTTAAGTTAACTTACATATTTATGTTTCTGTTGTAGGTGAAACAAAGTTTGGTCTTGAAGATGCTCCTGAACCCCAGGATATTATATTACAAGGACCAGATGTAGCAACAGAGCACTGTTATATCGAAAATATAAAAGGATTGGTAACATTGTATCCCTGTGGAAGTCTTTGTACTATGGATGGATTTTTTATAACTCAACCAACAAAACTGACACAAGGTAAATTTGATTTTGCTCGTTCTATTTTACTGTCCATATTTATCATAACTGATTTTTTAAAGAATATAACAGGTTTATTCTTCTCTGTGCCATATAGTTACTCATGTGGGGCTGTGCCGCTTGTGTTGTGGCAGTTGCCCATTGATTTCAGTCGGTTCAGCCTCATCTACAGTGAGGAGATGTTAACCATTTAGGAGGATCTCGTGGGTGAGCAGGGTTTGGTGTGGAAGAAGGCTTAGGATGCCAAGTATTCAATGAGTCAAAGCCTAGGAAAGCTGTTGAGAATATTGGAGAAATCCACCTTTGAGGTGACAAAAGCAGAGATTATGAGTTTCAGCCTCAAAGGGAGTGAAGTAGGAATGCAAGCAAGAAATATTCTAGAGATAGATGTTTTTCCTGTCAGCATGACACATGCAGAAACCCACCACCACACTAAAGAGTATCCAAACCAAGATGAGATTTTCACGCATCTCACCTACATATGGAAATCCCAGAGATAGATTGCTGGAATGGAATGGAACTCTCTCCCTGGGGGGACCCATCCTGCTTACCTAATTCCAGAAAGTATTAGGCACAGGTTGGCAAGAGCCAAGGTCTGGGGACCCCAGAGTGTGTGTTGGGGGTACTGCTAGAGTCTGACCAGCTAAAACCATATAGCTTACCATTGATATTGCTGTCTGGCAAGTTTTCTTACTGCTTGTCCAGCTAGGACCACCCTACCCATTAGGGCTTTGGCTTGCAGGGCTAACAGGAGCTGAGTGAACAGGAGAAAGCATTTTTGATGACGAACCTGATATTGTATAATGTTTAAAGCACGTGGGGTGGGGGAGGGGGGGTGATGATTTTTTTTAACCCAGAGAATTGTTGGGATGTGGTTATATCATTAGGTCTGTGGGGACACAGAATGTCATTGGTTTTATTCACTCCAGATCTTTTATTGTTGGCTTAGATCTGTGGTAAGCAGAGGCAACTGGAGATCTGTATCTTAGTGAAGTCTTGATGGATCTTGGGATATAATTGCCTGATGTATGTTTGTTACCTCTGGAGGCAGCAACAACAAAATTATACTTGTATAGTGCCTTTCACGTCAGGAGGATGTCCCAAGGCCCTGGACAGACAGAGTTACAGACCCGAGCTTTAGTGACAATAAATAATAATCCTTGAATTTGAAATAGCACCTTTCGTGTCAAGAGAATGATTTAAAGCGCTTCACAGGAGTCACTGTGAAGCATAGTGAAAGTATTTTGTAGGCAAACCTAGTAATGTAAAAGCGATAATAGATGAACGTTTTAAAATCACAAGTCATATTTGTGACTGAACCTTAAATAAAGCCTAAAGTACTGTTCCCGGGGTTTATATTCGACTTGTTTGGAGCAGTGTAAGAGTATTGGAATGATCATGGCAAGGCAGTCTGGACCATAGTTGCACAAAGGCATTTTGGCAAAACAATAAAAATTCTCATTGTTTCCCTGCTCCAGAGATAACCACAACACAAGCAATAAATGCAGCAAACTGGGCTGAGGGAAATTCATGTATATTGGCATCTAATATGCAAAATGTGGTCAGGGTAATGAGCTGTGACTTCTTTAATAGGTATTCTCTCCTCCGTTCCTGAAGTTTTGAATTGTGCTGCAGTGTGGTCCTAGAGGTTCCATCAGCTTTGTAGACAAGTTTCATTCCCAAGTGGCCATTCTTCGCTCCCCTCTCGACTCTCTACCCCCTCCTCGCTCCTTCCCTCCCCTCACCCTGACCATTTCCCCTCTGCTCGGGTCCTGACCCAACTGTACAGCGCCTTGGGACGTCCTCCTGACGTGAAAGGCGCTCTATAAATGGAATCTTGTTGTTGTTGTTCTCATTATATGAGCTTGGACAGAGGGGTGAAAAATGTTTTTCGGGAATACGGCAAAATGGTGCTTCGCAGAGGAAAAAGGACCTTGGATGTAAAATGCATCTGCTCTAGGGGATTCTTTGTACATTACAGCAACTCTTGACTCTGCTCAAACTGTGCCTCAGAGCCATATTTTCCTGAGTTGGTTTGACATATTTCAGGTTCCCTAGATTTTTTCTGATGTGAGATATTGTTAAACTGACATTTTTGTGACATTTTTTTCAAACACACTGAATGTTCACAAGCTATTTGACATTGAGGGTAACAAATCAAACCATTCCTTTTATCACCCGAATCCTGCCTGCACATGCACACTTTCTAATGGGGAACATTGGATGTCAATCATTACTGTGAGCTGGTTGATATTTAACCTTCCTTGCGCAGAGGCACAAAGACCATATTGCCACACTGGCTGAGATCAGCTAAATCAGCACGGACTGAGAATTCAATCTACGTCACTCGGGGATGTATAGGTTAGTACTACATCTGGCAATGGAGCCGAGATCAAAGGTCAGGCTTCTTAGTTATCTCTCAGTCTTTAGCGAAACACACCATTGAATACAGCGTGCAGCAGAATGAGTGGTGTGCACTATAGCATTAGGTCGGTTTCAGAGATGTCATGCTTCGGTTTTATCAGCTCACACAGAATGAGGAAAGGTGGCTTGGATTGAGAATTCTGTGGTAACAGATGGAGTCTGTTTTGTTTAAACATCTGTTTTTAACCTGATTCTTTAGAAATGTATGTAAGTCTATCTTTTTGTAAGCGAAACACCAGCATAATGTTACTTATTCTGGAGCAGTGCTTTACAAAGAAGAGAAAAGATGGGTAACTAGATTACAGGAATATAACCCCCAATAAGAGCAATTCCTGTTAATAGTAAATTTTCTTTGGAAAATCTCATCCCTTCTTGATAGATGTCAACTATATTTCAATAACAATTTCCCCTTATTAATAAATCTGTAGCATTGATGCTGTGACGTCCCGAGTACTGCACACAGTCATAAAATTAATGACCTGGTCAGAAAATTAAACAAGCAGCAACTTCTGTCCGAATGTGCCATTAACATTGTGGGCCATGTAAAATTAATCCCTATTGTTTGCATTTGTATATTCATTTCGAATTGACATGCAGATTTTTAACGCTGGATTTTAGGAATTTTTAAAAACAATCTAAGCGTCCAATGAAACCCTGTTTTGTTGATGTTGAGTATATTTGTTGATGATTTCCATTCTTCCCCTGTATTGCTGACTTGGTGATGGGTGGTACAGCCCTGCAAATAAAGTGAGGGGCCTCATTGAGAAACTGCTCTCAGGCTTGAGCGAGCTCGAAGTTTAGATCGCTGAAGTCTGGTTAGTAAGAGCCATCCACACCTCCTGAAAAAGAGGAAGAATTCTTTATCGGTAGAAATGTATTACAGAAGGGAAAGCTATCTCGAGTGAGACTCTCTTGTTCACCATTTAACAGAAGGTCAGTATTTAGAACTTCAAATCTAAATGTTGAGAGGAATCAGCATAATTATTCTATATAAACAGATGTAGGTCATAGAAAATCATTGTTGCATCTATGCCTTTCTTAAGACATTCAACTGTTCCGAGTAAGTGGTACATAATGCTTTGTAGATCAGTTACTTCACACTGCAGGTATTTATTAATGGCTTGTGAGGTTAACGCAGGTTTCGTATCATTGCTTTACTCAGCAGAAGTCTGAAAGCAGCTTGTTCTTAAATATTGAGGGAAAATAGACTCACTGCAGTGGCTTGCTAAACTCTTGTTTCATTAAAATAGTACAGGAAAATAGAACTATTAGCAGGTACTCTACTGGGAAAACACACAAGGGCTTGAGCTAATGTTTACATTTTATGTCATTTATCTCCTCTGCAAACAAACTTAATGTTTGTCAAATCACATGGCCACAATGTATTTTAGCTTGTAGCTGTGGACACAGTTTGTTGAGACATATACATATTTTAAAGGAATTCTGCTTCCTATTTAAATGGACACTTTCTTGTTTTGATGCTGGAATGATGACAGAAATTATAATCAGCACTGTTGCAGCAATCTTATTTTGTTAAACAATCTTCAGTAGAGACTTCCTTCTGTTTGTCTTTAAAGGAGAAAGCCCATATTGATATTGCAAAGACCGATACATCATGGAAACAAGCCATTCGGTCCAACCTGCTGGTGTTTTTTTCTGCTTCAACCATATTTGTTAAATTTTAAAATTTGTTTCAAATATTATTGTAGGAGGATGCTTGCCACACAGTGTTTTCACTGGCAAGCTCAGAGGATAATAAGATTGGTTTGGATGAAGAAAGTTGTTTAGCTCATCCAGTTTCATCCCTCCAGAAAAAACATCCACCCATCCTCCCATCAACGCATCAAGCTGCTTTTTTTTAAAAAAAGAGTGCAGTGTCCTGGCCTCTACCACCTTCCTGGCAAATAATCTAGTTGTTAATTACCCTCGGTGTAAAGAAAAAACATCTGCCTTGAAACTGCCCATTGCAACTCCAAATCTGTGTTTTACTGTCTTTATGCAGCTTAAATTATTGTTCTGTACTTTTTCAACCCCATTTAAAATGTTATACACCTCTATGAGGTCCCCTCTGATTCCATAATCTCCCCTGTAAATGTAATTACCTTTCACTGGATCTGCAAATCCAAATACCTTTCACAGAGTCTGCAAATCCATATTAATAATATATATAAGAACAGGAGGATTTTCAATACATACCCCTGATACACACCGTTTAATATCTCTGCCTATTTTGATCTAGCTCCCCTAACAAAGGTCTTCTGCTTGCTTCCCTTTAGCTAATTCTGATTCATATCCATGTTTTGCCCTCAATAACCAGAGTATGAATGAGTCTTTCATGCACTACTTTGTCAAACAGCTTTTGGAAGTCTACATATACTGCATCATATGGCTTCCTGCAGTCAATTTGGGCTGTTTCCTTGTTGCTAGGTGATTAAAGTCCAGCAGTATCCCAACGCACACTACGTGATCCCCAAGCCTTGGCGGTTGCCAACCTGTGCCTAATATGCTTCAGAATTAGGTAATCTGGGTGTGAATCAGGTTATTCCTTGCCCTTTCCATTTTCTCCCTTCTCCCTTGAGAATTGTTGTCTCAACTCAGAATCAAAATAAGATAATGGGTCTAAATTGAGAAAAGAGTAAATAGGAGTCTGCAACTTCACTTGGATTTCAGTCTCTTGCTGGATGCCAAGGCTGCAGTCTAGTCGGAATTTAGATGCACATCTGAGTGGAATTGCAGAGAGACACATCTGGGAATGTATAGAAATCTTTTTGCAAATCTTGCAATTTAGCTCCAAACCCTCCCCCATGTATAGTGGAGATTCAGAAACTGCCACTGAGAGAAAAAGATTAATGCTCTTTTTTTCCCTAAACTATATGGCTGTGGCAGCACAGAGTATGGATGTGCTTTATTTGCTCTCTTTGTAGCTTTACATTCCTTCAAATCTATTTTAGTATTTTGTATCTGAGCCAGTGCTTGCTTATGTTCTCTTAAATTAACTTTATGGACATCAAAACGTTACTTGCACTTTAACTGGAGAGACTGAATCCTTAAAAGGAATAAAAATACAGTCTTGCTGACCGTGCTGAAGTGGATTGCAGCACGATGCGGATCAGCCAGCCACAACAGGGAAGAAGAGAACCATAGAAATGTACAGCACAGAAGATGACCAGACATGAAAACAAACACTTTTTTCTTGATGTGTTTGAGGAAGTGCTGGAAGCTTGTGTTTTGTCCATCATAACTGTGCTGGTCTTTGAAAGTTCAATTCATTCAGTCCCATTTATCTGCCTTTTCCCAATAGAATAAAACAAAGAGGAGGAGAGAAAAACAAAGTGTTTGCATTTGAGTTGCGTTGTCTTTCTGTTAACTCAAGCTGAGAATTCCCAGCACCAGATAAAAGGGAAGATAATATGGCATCATTGTCATGTCCTGATTTTTGTTTGCATGTTTCTCTCTCTCGTATTGGTACTGGATAGGGGGATGGGGTTAACAAATATTCTGACCCAGACATGAAAACAAACATTTTTTTCTTGATGTGTTTGAGAAAGTGCAAACATTGTGCATGCTCCGAGAGAAATGTATGTTGGTAATGACTGGACAAACAAACTAATCAAACTGAAGTTAAATTCCAACAGTTTTCACTGTGCTTCTGACCAAATAAGGTGTTGAATGGAAGGGCAAAATTACTGTGCGACATTTTGTTCTGAAAGGCCCTATTTATCTGGGAAGTGTGTGGGCATTCGAGTATCTCTGGAATTTCTGGAGTTTTTTTTCTGAAAACTCTGTAGAGATCATGCGAGAAATAGTTTTGTTTGAAAAAAAATAGTTGATGGGAACCTTGGCAAATAATCTGTAAGGGAACATCTGGACTGTCTCAAGGAAATCAAATTGTTTCCAGATGCTGGAAGCTTGTGTATGTCTAATAGAAAACCTGCTTGCTGCAGACGGACGCAAAAGTATATGAAACAACAGTTAAGTGGACTGAAATCCTAACAAAGCATAATCCTTTGTTCTTTGTGATTGCTACATGTTTGTTTACCAAGGGCTTATGACACTGCACAAGCAAACGTTTTTTTAAAAATTGCTTTGAAGCACAACGCAGACTGTTCTATTCAATTATGCAAGTACACCATGAGTTACATTAGTGTCTTTTACTTGCTGGTAGGTTGAGGTGCCAGACAGCAGCAGACAGACTGCTTCCATGATCTCAATCCACAACTGTTTGTGGGACATATCTGTGCGCAATTGGCTGCTGCGTTTTGCCCACAAAGTATACAGTCAATTCACTTTAAATTCACTTTAAAGTCAATTCTGTGAGGCACTTTGAGACATCTCGAAGATGTGATAAGGCGCTATATCAAAAGCAAGGATTATTATTAAATCAAGTAATTCGAAGCAAAGTGGCAATATACCAATTGATGTGAACAGCGAGGGCATCAGAATGTATGTCACTGGACTTTTATATCATCAGCTGAATAAACTGAATAATAGATGGAAGTGTTTTGTCAAGTTTTAACACACTAGTGGGATTTGGCTGTTACAGTTACTCAGTCAGTCTGTTTATGTTTTAAATTAGGAAATGACACAAGATAAGACCAGTGAAAACACAGAAAATGTATTCAGGCACACAAAAACAACAGGCACGGAAAGGAAGTGGCCTGCTGAGAGATGTCATTTTCCTGCTGGCTCTCTGTAGCTGCACTCACTGTAACACACAAACACTTAGAGAAAGAGAGCCTCCCCCAAACAACGAAACCCACATAGTTTCTGGCAGGTCTTTCAAAAGTTTCAAGTAAAGCCGCTATTTAAAATAACGTAATAATTATAATAATCCTTGCATCTTCTAGACGTCTCAAAGTACTTCACAGAATATACTGTGAAGTGAATTGACTGTATATTTGTGGGTGTACCACAAAAGTCATGGATTGAGTACCAATTTATTGTTAGTTTTTTGAAGGAATTATTACCCACGTAAAAGCGATCCACCATTCGACTAACAACTAGGTTCCTACTTACTGCTAGGTAAACAGTGGTGTGTGGGGTAAGGAAACCTGCCCAACATTTCACCCTGCAAAGAATCGAACCCAGGTCTCTCACTTTCGAGGCGAGTGCTCTAACTACTGAGCTACAGGACTCCACGAAAACAATAGACACAGAAAGCTGTCTCAAATCACTTCACAGGATATACTGTAAAGTGAATTGACTGTATATTTTGTGGGCAATATGCGGCAGCTAAGGTAGGAAGTGTTCAGAAAAATAGTTTCTTGAATGTCACAATTACAAAGTTCAAGGGAGGGTGTTAAGTAAGCAAATGTTATTTTTAAAACCATGATCTTGGCAGAGCTTTTAGTTCCTTTGGTAAAAAAATCTAGTTAAGAAAATCTCTGATTATCAAAGTGCTGGGGTTTACGCAGACTGGAGTCTGAGTCTTTAAAACCATTGGATCCTGTTGTTAGAAATCCTGCTTGCCATAAATTCACCAAACCTTTGTGTGCGCAGGGGAACTAGAAGGGACATAGCAACAATACCTAAAATAAGATAATAAAGTTAGTCTAATATTTTAAGAGTAAGATGATAGACAGGGAAGAAGTTAAATTTTAGGGGACACAGAGGGTGATGAAGAAGAGAGAAAACAGGAAATCGTAAACGTATTAAATGATTACTTCTTACATTTTGTTTTACCAGAGAGGACAATTAAAAAACACACACCATCCATATCCAATACACAATTTGAGCTCCAGTTATTTGACATGATCAACGTAGATATAGGCTCAAGGGGCAGACAATCAACAAATCCAAATGAACTGTACCCAAAGCATTCTGAGACCCGGTCTGGCATGGAGGGCGCTATATAAATCCAAATTGTTGTTGTAGTAGTTTACTGCGTAAAGTTCAAGATATTTGTGGTTTAAATACTTGACACAACTTGTTGTTAATGACATTTTCTCACCTTGATATATTTTAGGCTGTACACTGTGCCTGGGCCAATCAAACTATTTTCGCTTCAACCATCCTGCAGAAGCTAATCGTATGAGGAACATGCGACCAGACATTGAAGAAACTTCAATCTCTTCACCTAGCTATGTGCCAGGTAGGAAAGGATTAATAAACATAACTTTTGGGATGAGAAACAAATTGACTGTATTTACTCAAATCTTGGCTACCCCAAAAGCAAGGCTCAGGCACATTTAAAGGGCTTTGGGGGGAAAAAGGAGCTTGATTGTATTTCTAGGTATACCTTTTTATTCACAGAAAACAAAAAATTACTGGAAATATTTTAGTCTTATTACAAAAATATTTTGGGACTTTGACTAAGATTAACTTTCTCACTCTTGTCTCTTGGAATCAGTCAATCCTCTCTGTCAGCTGTGGTAGTCTGATACCTGAACTTGCCTGGTCCATAGACCTCCCAAGACACTATCGATGACATACCAGCCAGTCTGGTTAATTAACACAACATGGGTTGCAGACAATCTCTGGGCAATCGATTCTTCCCACTCAGTGTCTGTTAATCCTGGCAACCAAATCCATAACTGGCAGGGTGGTGCTAGCCAAACAAGCAGTGGGAAGCTTGCCAATATATGGTTTACAGACTCTTAATCATGGTGATGGCTTTTTGTGTGTTTCAAATGCCTGTCAAATTTTCTGACCAAAACAAAACTGCAGTGAACAAATCTAATTATATTTCTGTCTGAGAGTTCCCATGATAATGGACTTCGAAGTCATTAAATCATCCTGTAGAGTTCAGTGTAGTGTTTTCATTCAGAGCTGGGTGAGGCACTGGTGATATGGAAATACAGTCAATATTACCTGTTGGCGAAAGTTGAGGCCACATTAATTGTACTATTCTTCCATATTTCAGTGGTATCTCATCTCAGATGCCATTGCTTTTTGACCCCAGCCCAATTCACCCACCCAAGCTTTCAGCCATTCTGCTTCCAGTGTCTGGAACGTCATCCCAGAGTCCCTTTGTCTTGTCCCCTTCCTCTCCACCTTTGAAACTTGGTCTGAGATATATCTTTCCGTTCATGCTTTTGGCCACCTTTCTCCCCACCTCCCCTACCCCAGTTCAGGCTCCCAGCCTGCTGCACTTTTTGAGATGTCCTCCTGACATCAAAGGTGTTTTATAATGTAAATGGTTGTTGTTATTGTTATTTTAGTTTGTCTCCTTTATCCTATTCTGTGTTGGTATCTCTCCTTTGCTTCTGGTTCCAACTATGTTTTAGTGAAGGATCACATTCAAAATGTTAACTTATCTTTCCCTTTCAGATACAGATCAACCTACTGTGCATTTCCAGAATTTTCTGTTTTCATTTTTTATGTAACGTTTGAGAATTGCTGCATGCTCTGTGACAAACAGCACTCTTCTGAGCAAAGCCTATTTCAATGTATTTTGCCTTAACAGATTCTTCCAACACAAAGGAATGCTGGCAGTCAAAACATAACTCAAACGTGAGGCCTGTTGGACAAGAAATTAGTTCCTTTGATTATGATGATGAAAATGATGGCCACAATATGGATACTGTAATAAAAAATGGTAAACCTCTTGTTTACACTGAGAGAACAATTCCACCCCCTTCACAGAGTTTCTCAACAAGTCCCAGTGCTCTACCTTTTTTACCAGTTAATAGGAACATTGCACCATCATCATCTTATTCACCACAATCATTTCCTATGATAAGCAAACAATCTTTGAGTGACTTCTATCATCCGTTTTCCATTGAATCTCCAGCTTATACACACAGTTATTCCTCTCCGCCAATAGCTTCTGGATCACAAATGGCAATGACAATTGATCCTTATTTTGGAAGGAGGAAAGAATATGTTACCAGCTCAAGAGGTCAAGCTTCCAGTCAAAGCTTCAGTCCCAGAAATGTGTTTCCAGAAAACCATTTAAGATTGGATGTATGGGATAACATGAAGTCATCTGATGATGCCCCTTTGAGCCCACTGGAAGATAGATTTATTCCTGTTACTGGTCGACATGGGACGGAGTCTGCAAGCATGCCTTCTAGTCCAAGACTTGCTCGAAAGTTAAATCTTCTATGTGGACCAACTGGTTATTCTCTATCTGGTAGAGAGAAGGAAGCAATGAGCGAAGCTGCCTTTGGATCTCGGTCCAGACCGAGGAGAGTCTCTGAGAATTCCCTCAAACAAATGGGACTGTACAGTCGTTCCCTTCCCAGGCTACATAAGTCTGGAGAGAGCCATTTGGTTCCATTCAGTCTTACTTCAGGGCGGTCACCGGAGAGTCCTAAAATGTGGAGCAGTTCAGATGAAACCAGAGAGTTGGGTCCAAAACATTTTTCTATACCAATGAAAGAGTCTCTGAATTATACTCATTCAAACCAAATACTTCTACCACTTTCAAGTTCGCCAGTGGAAATGCAGGGTGAATATAATCTTGCAAGCAATATTTCCATGAGTCCTAGGAATGCTAAAAAGATGACTTTGACTTCATCCCATCCATATGGGAAAAAGGACCATCTGTTCACTTTTGATCATGGCAGGAAAGAGTTTCATAATGGAAGTGGCTCTTGCCTTTTCAAACCCATTGATATGCTTGTGTCCTTGAGTAAGAGCATTCCAAGCAGCCCTTTGGATTTTAGTGCCAGTGATATGGAAAACATCAAGATGATGCAAGAAGTGCAGCATTCGGTGTCACCTCCATTCCGTAAGAGAACGAACAGCATCAGTTCTGTCAGTGGAAATGAAGAGGATTTAATGGATTACCATCAAAGACAAAAGGAAGAGCGACTTCGTGAACAAGAAATGGAACGCTTGGTAAGTAATCGTGAGCACTCACTATTTGGTCACTCAATCCACGATGTTTGTGGAACATTGTTGTGGGCAATTGGATGCCACGTTTCACCCACAAAATACACAACTTTACAATATATTCTGTGAAGTGCTTTGAGATGTCTCGACGACGTGATAATCTGCTATATAAAATGCAAGGCTTATTATTATTTTTAACAGCTCAAAGATAAACTGTATCATACAAATGTATAAATACATTTGTATGATACATAGTTTGCCCACAAAATATTCAGTCAATTCACTTTATAGTTTAATCTATGATGCCCTTTGAGATGTCTCGAAGACGTGATAAGGCGCTATATCAAAGGCAAGGATTATTATTAAACGGAGTAAGTCTGCCTGTTCATGTGAACTTCAAAAGAGATTGGCACTATTTGAAAAGAGAAGAGATTTCTCTGGATGTCCTGGCCAACAATCTCCCAAATAAAGTGAGTTCTTGACTTCATTTGATATTGTGCTTACAGAATATGCTGTAAAGTGAATTGACCGTATATTTGTGGGCGAAGTGCAGCAGCTAGTTGCACACGGCAGTGTCCCACAAACAGTCGAGGATTGAAAATGACCAATTTATTATTGTTTTTTGGAAGTCTGTTCATGTCTGTTTGTAGGATATTGCCTTGCTCAAATTGGCTGCTACGTTCGGTCATGAAACACACAGTTACTACACTTTACAGTATATCTTGTGAAACATTTTGGCACATCCCCCTGTGTGATAGGCGCAATACCAAATGTAAGGATTATTACATGTAATGATATATTTATATAGAATCTGAGCATTTACCGGCTGCATTGAATTATGCATTACAATGTAAATTATTGATTAAATCAGATTTTACATGACTGATATAAGTTTGCCTGCAACTCAGTCATATTAAATGTTATGGTCCCAACTGATATGATTTACATGACTTTTTACTATATGTTTTTGAGGCAACAGCTTGCTATCTGTTTATGTGCAAACCATCCTTTCTGTTAGTTTCTTTCTGCCTCAGTACAGCAGTACCCGCTGCCTCCACTTTACTGGTTCCGACCTCCTTTGCGTCCCCCGAATCCTCAACTCTACCATCAGCGGCCGTGCCTTCAGCCACCACGCCCCAAAACTTTGGAACTCCCTCCCTCAACCCCTTTGCCTCGCCCACTCCTTCCCCATCTTCAGGTCACGCCTGAAGACCTTCCTCTTCGACCGTGCCTACGGTGACCTTCCCCCTTCCCCTGGCTCGGCCTCGGGCTCTGCTATTGTTAAGCGCTCTGAGACACCTCCCGGCGTGGATGGTGCTATATAAGTGCAGGTTGTTGTTGCTGTCTCCATAGTAACAGCATTCCTGTACCTACCATCTCACGAATAACTCATTGATGTCAGCTCTCCTTCACTTTCTTCCAATATCTCCAGATTGCACCAAAAATCAACTCAGATACCACCATCCTTCACCAGTGCCCTATATTCCTTTATCTATCAGTTTCTCTCTTTTCATCTCCATTTATACGGCCACTGAAAATGGAGTGACAGTTTTATAGCATAAAACTACTAACATTGATTGTAACAGTATTGTTCAGTTATGGGAAAAAGACAGTAGAGGATGCAAAATGAATATGCTTTAGGACGTATTCGTGGGTTCTCGTAGCACAGTGGTTAGAGCGCTCGCCTCACAGGCGAGAGGACCCGGGTTTGTTTCCCAGGCAGGGCAATACCTTAGGCAGGTTTCCTTACTCCACACTCCTCTGTTTACTGAACAGTGAGTAGGCATCTGGTTGTTAGTCGATTGGCAGATCGCTTTTTGTGGGTAATAATCCCTCAAAAAAATTATTGGCCAATCAATCCACAAATGTTTTTGAGACACTGCTGTGAGCAATTGGCTACTGCGTTTTGCCCATAAAATACACAGCCAATTCACTTTACAGTATATTTTGTGAAGAGCATGGAAACATCTCAACAACGTGATAATGACTGTTTGTGGGATACTCCGATGCGCAATTGGCTGCAGTGTTTCGCCCACAAAATATACAGTCAATTCACTTTACAGTATATTCTGTGACGTGCTTGAGACGTCTTGAAGACGTAATAAGGTGCTATATCAAATGCAAGAATGATTATTATATATAACATAAGGCACTAATATCAAATACAAGGATTATTATTATAATATTTACAACTATTATAACTTGGGAAATATTAAAATACAACAGTTCATGCTAAAGAAATATGAGGAGTGACTTGTGTTTGAAGGTTTTGGGTGACAGTATAAATTTCAACTGGCCAATGCCTGTCAATAGCTTCCTAGTCACCTGACTGTTACATATTCTCCCATGTCTTTCAATTGCAACAAGTACGTCCTTGAAAGAAGAGAAAATTCTATTTTAAAATGCACACATGTTATGTTGTTACTGAACAACAAACAAATTGAATTTACTGTAATGTTTCCAGTATTAATGCATGCTATGCTTCACTGAGGGTGGCATTTCTGCTTATAGCGTGCATTTTTAAGTAAAAATTGAACTACCAATATTCATTGCAAAACGGTACAATTAATACACATGAAACATTGCACTGCTGATTTTTCAAAACATTCTTTGAGTCATAAGTCATAAAATCAATTTGTGATTTTTATACTCGTGATGACTAAAAAATGTAAGTGGTGCATTTCTCTCTGATTTATGAAAATGTTAGGTATTTTGTTCAATTTTGTCTAATACAGCTCAGATTGATCTGCACAGCCCTATCAAATGTACTGAATGACTGCCTCACTGATTGCTTTAAAAATAAATTAAGAAGTATATAATATGAATTAGCCCAGTGCCACTTGACATATGGATACAGTTATTATAATTGATCATGCCAATAAAGTTTCTCATGTTAGTCATTATGTCCAAGCTACTCCTGATATCAAGTTTAAAAGAAGAGTGCCGGAAGCTTACAAATACTAAGCTCCTATATTTGTATTTCCCCGGATACTGATATGGAGGCTTGCCATTTTGTATAATATTACACTTGCTGCGTGTTAATGTCTGCAACAGACAAACAGCTAACTTGACAGTTGATGAGAAGACATTAGACAGGATATCAGCTGGAAGTTTTGAGTACTTTGTGAGGGTGTAAAACGTATGATTATTCTAGGAATTAATGTATATTGAAAATCCCTATTGGTTTAAAAAAATTGAAAATCTGGGTGACCAGCAAGACACACAGCCGTACTTATTGATAAGTATCTTAATTAATTCAAGAGGTGAAACTATCAGCATGAGGTTTAATCCAGTGGAGGCATCATTATCGGGATGTGAAGTAAGTAATGGGGAACTCTTGCATTAGATTATAGAGGGCAATAATACTGAAGGCTTCTTCAGTACATTCGATGAATATTTGTGGGTGTAAGGACTGACTGGCTGCTTTGTTTTAATCTTTGTTGTGATCTTTATTCTTGCGCTGTGAACAATAGTCATTTCAGTAGAACCAAAGGTTGAGTTTGGATAAACTTTGCCTTTGTTTTGTTTGGTGATGAAAAACGACTTTTGCTTGGCATAGCTTGCACTGTTAAGTTAAAATCAATAAATGATTTAGCGAAACAGTCTTATGGATTTGTATTGGGCAATAGTTAAGGTTTTAGTTACATTGCGGTAAAAATGTTTGTTTCACCCACAAAATATATGCAGTCAATTCACTTAAGATGTGATGATTATTATTTTCAAATTGGTGCAAGTAGAACATTGCAGCATTGATTCATTTGGATGCTATTGAGAAAAGGTGTTTCAGCTAAAAAGCAAGAAATGAGAAGGGTTTTTTCACTGTAGCTGAGAAGTTTAAAGGAGAGTTACTTGATAAAGATCTTTATGCCTGAAGGGTTGTCATGTGGTAAATAGTAATAGATTATTCCCACTGGTCAATGGGTCAGTAATAAGAGTGCATAAATTGAAGATAATTACCCAAAGGAATGAAGATTATTTTTCACAAAGGGTGGTTGCAATGTGAATTCTCTAACTCAAAACGTAGTTGAGGCAGAGTTCATACATTCTTTTAAAAGGGAATCAGATAGATTCTTGACGAGGAGGAATATTGTGCAGCGTATGGCGATCGAGCAGGAAAGTGGGCTATTAAGAAACTATTGGCTCATATAGAGAAAAACACCAGTGCTTACTTGATGCACTGAATCATCTGATTCTGTGCCAAAGCATTCTGATTCTAAATATTAAGATATTCTCTATTCCACCAACTTTTTGATCTCTACTTTTGGAGTGTGTCCATTTTGGTAAACTTGGGGCTGCACACTTGCTGGCTCTCTCTCTCATTTTGCAGCTAAATTAACTTGTACAGAGGTTTGAGTAGATCATTTCACTGGTACTGCATACTGCGCTATGATGTTTTTCTCAGCGTGAGCCACCTACTCTAATCCCACACTGCCCAAACCTTCTTTTTCAAATGTCTGTCCAAATCCCTTTTAAAACAATGGTTCGGACTCTGCTTCCATGACTACTTGTAGCAGAGAATTCCGCATTTCCAACCAACCTTCATGTAAACAAATTATTGCTCTCCTCCCCTATAATTATTTTGGTGTCTTCCTGGCTTAGTTTGTTGCACTCTTGCCTCTGAGTCAGAAGGTTGTGGACTCAAGTCCTGCAAGACGTTCTGGCACAGATTAGTTGGGCGGAATGGCTTCCTTCCAGGCTGTATCACTCTGTAAGTAATGGATAGTTTATGGGATAATTTGCCTATATTTTTAATAGAGTTTTCCCAAATTTTCTTATTGAATTCTGGACAGTGGGGAAACAAGGGCTCTTGGAAGCAAGAAATCTCATTTTGTGAAATTCTTTGGCCAACAGATACTTTGAATAATAATCATTGCATTTAATATACTGCCTTAACAGTCTTCGAGACATCTCAAAGCACTTCACAGTATAGACTGTGGAGGCACATTCCTCCAATTTTAACACTTGCCTGAGGCAAGTACTGCACTGTACTTATGCCCTCCAGTCTTACAATCACTTTCGAAGTTATATAACTGGTGGTCAAGCACATTATCCATACAACTCGTCCTTTTAAAGACGTGTTTTGATAACTTAGAGCCATAAGGCCCAAAATAATTTGTTTGACTCTTCCCTGAACTGTCAGTGCCTCAGTGTCCTTTTCTGTATTCCTTCCAGGATTCCTACATGAAGTTGTTTGCTGAAAGCTAACATTTCCTTTGCAACTCTTTTTATATCAATGGGTGCATCATAGCAGATTATTTATAGCTGTGTTATTTCATTCAAATGTTATGTTATTGCCTCTATCCCATGCATCCCATCTGGAGTTGGGATTAAGGGGTTCTTATTCCCAAACAGCATGTCCTCTTGGTATAATTTTCAAGACAGTTGTTGCATCTCCCTCTCAGTGAATGTTGACTTCCATCCAGATTTAGACAATATTTAGTACAATTTATCTGCCTCAATTTGCAAACAATGTTTTTGTTTGTGCCTTTGCAGAAGTTAAAGGGAACAATGTGCATCTCATTGGGACAGTTAATAATGATTACTTATGGTATTTTATGTTTGGATTGTCTTATGGTTCTGCTGTTGAGATCTGTTACCTTGGAGCAGAAAGTTTACTGTGACTGTCTGATGATTTGTGATCTTTTTCAGAAATTCTCTCAAAACTCTGTCTGCAATGTCTTCCAACCTTGATGATCTTGCCCTTTATATTGATCTATATTGGTTTCTGTTATATTCTTTATAGAAAAATTAGAGGGGATCTTATAGAAATCTATAAGATCATCAAGGGGCATGATAGAGTAGATAGTGGGAGATTGTTTCCCCTGGTTGGAGAAACTAAAATCAGGGTTCACAACCTTAAAATCAGAGGCCAGCCCTTTCGCACTGAGCTGAGGAGGAACTTCTTCACTCAAAGGGTGGTGAATGTATGGAACTCACTGCCCCAAAGGGCTGTTGACTCTCAGTCCTTGAACATATTCAAGACTGAGATAGATAGATTTCTTATTGCAAAAGGGATTAAGGGATATGGGGATAAGGCAGGGTTATGTTATTAGCTGTAGTTAGATTAGAAGATCAGCCATGATTGAATGGCGGGGCAGGCTCGAATGGCCGAATGGCCTGCTGCTGCTCCTACACGTATGTTATGTTGCCTTTAATATACTTGTAAATTTACCAACATTACGCAGCCCGACTGCTCAGTGGTGCTGTATTTCACAAAATCTAGGCTTGTATTGCATAATGAATTTAAAGGTATGTATTTTTTTTGGATACTTCAGAGACAGACAATTTGATAAGGCAACTTTTATCTTCTACCAAAACAATTTTAAAGAGGTACCTTTCTCATCTGTAGTATATATTTATTTACAAGCACTCCAAGATGCTACCCACACATGAAGGGTGCTGTATAAGTGGAGTCTGTTGTGGTAAAGGGTTGCTATAACAAAATCAGATATTCCCTTTAATTGCTGCTATAATTCCTTGAAAAATACTATTAATTTTTATGATGTATTTTGTTTTCCAGGAACGCCAACGTTTAGAAACAATTCTGAATCTTTGTTCAGAATACAGTAAATCGGATACTGATAACACTGTGGCTGCTGTGACCAATATTGAGAAGATCAGTGAGGAGTTACACAAGTTAACACTATCACAAAACAAATCTGTGTCGCCGCCTCCGGAAAGAAAGGAGCATAGTTTTGATGAAGCTGAAGCTAAGACCTATATCAGAACCTCACACAGTTCTCCATCCATGTCTGATTTTAGTCCATCAAAGGGAAGAAGATCAATGAAACATTCAGGTCCCATTGACCTGGAGAGCAATAAAGAGTTAAATCACACTCGTGATTGGAGGTTTTTGCAGCAAGCACCTTGCACCTCAGCAGAAAACTCTCCAAAACATCCAGCTGATTCCCTGTCTTATTCTCTGGAACTTCAGAAGAATGATTTTGAAGGGCAGTTAAATCCATTTGGCTCTAGCATGGACAGCAATGTCACTGACGATGGGGTGAGTTTCCATTACACAAACCTATATCGTGATCATATTCAAGAAAAGACGATTGTGGCCCTGTTCGATTCTTAATATCAGTTCCTCATTAAATTCCTCAATCCCTTCTTCTGAAATACAATTTGTCATCTCTAGCTCCCCTTTGGCTTTATGGGCTTTAATGTCCTTCCTTGATTTGGGAAGTTGGAACAGTTGGTATCCTGGATCACCTTGATCAAACTGATCAAAGGATCTTCATCATCTCGATCATTGTTGTGATATTCTTTATTCCACAGATCTGTTACAATTTGAAGATGCTCACTTAGGAACATAGGAATTAGGAGCAGGAGTAGGCCATTCGGCTCCTAGAGTCTGCCCCGCAATTCAATAAGATCATAGCTGATCTTCTAGCCTAACTCCTTCTGCCCGCCTTATCCCCATATCCCTTAATCCCTCTCCTTAAATCCCTTAAAGCTCCTTAGAGTCGTTTTCATATTTACAAAGTTTATTCTCCAAAATTTGTGCACATTAATTGTAATCAATCCACATTTGCATTCAATCATTCATACAGATCTATTCAGTGATAACAAGAGCCCAAATGGTCACCTGGTTTCTGATTACAGATAAATTCTGGTGGATCTCTTCCATAACACAGCTGACTCACAACCTCCCGGCATTTTGCTTAATACTCATAGGTGCAGTAATGAGTTTCCACATGTGTCAGACACCTGTTCACCACCTACAAAAAAATTGCTGGACTGTCACAAAGTTCAATCATTACAACTTAGCTTCCATAGCCACTCAAAATACAGCAATGTTTTTAATAAAATAAAAACAAATGCATTAAATTGAATTGAAATTTAACTGTTCAGCATATTGTTGTTTAAAGGGGGCAGAAATATAATGGGAAGTCCTCCTAGTGCAAGAATCTTACCCGAGTTTGTGTGTCCTGTCATAATGTGTCATAAGTTGAATCATGTTTAGTCAAAAAGCTCCTCTCTAAAACCTCGCAAACAGGGATAATAGAAAAATAAAACAAAGCTGAGTAATCCACCAAAGCCAGCCAGGAAGACATGCACAGACCATGTCTGTTAACCACCATAGACTTTACAGACTTTAGGCAAAACCTTAGGCAAATTTCTTGAATCCACACGCCTCTGTTCATCTAACAGTAAGTAGGAACCCAGGGGATTCTGGGGATAATCATCCCTCCGAAAAAAGAAAAATTGGTTACTCAACCCACGATTGTTTGTGGGACGCTGCTGTGTGCGTTTTGGCCGCAAAATATACAGCTGGTATATTTTAGAAGTCTCAAAGACAAGATAAGACGCTATATCAAATGCAAGGATAATTATTATTTACCTCTTTGTGTTGCTGTTGGATTGATTACAATTCACAATTTACATTTGCTTTTTTCCCCTCCTTTTTAATTGTATCACACTGGAGTGTAGTTCTACTGAAAACAAACTGGGGATTGTATAAAAAGAAAAACTGGTGGTAGCTAATGAACTTGCTCTGGGAGCATCTTCCTTCCTGATACTGGAGAGTATTTGCTTAGCTTCTATTTGTGTGATTTCTGTGTGGTGAGCTCTATGGCAGAGTCTTAAGGTGGTGATTTATGTACCAGCTGTTAAAAGTTAAAAATATAAGATATGAAGGAAATGTTCCTTCTGAAAGCCACCTTCTCAATTAACATTACGTAAATTTTTATCACATTCAAAAAGTTGACAGCTGGCAAAAAATATGCTACAATTTACTTGGTAGGCTGTGCATTGGCATAAATTACATCTGGTTTCTGTTGACTTATTGGCATCTGGAGGGTTAGGATGTGGGTTCACTTGTGGCATTTTCCCACATAGGAATTTCATAACTGCAGGGAAGCAGTTTCCCAACAGTCAGATAGAAATTCAGCGGTCAAGTAAAGATGGAAGCTCAGAGGTCAAGTAAGCCCATGCAATATTCCTGGTGTATGTTATGGAAAATCCAAGAAAGCAAATATTTCTTAAAACGGAAATTAATACTGATGAGATTTGCATGATTAAAGTCTCATTCCTCTGATTGATTAGTAGATAATTATTACATAAGAACACAAGAACATAAGAATTAGGCATTCGGCCCCTCTAGCCTACCCCGCCATTCAATAAGATCATGGCTGATCTATTCTAACTCCACCTACCCACCTTATCCCCATATCCCTTAATCCCTTTATTACAAATGCAAGTCACAGCATTATTGCGAACTATAAAACTGTAGTCGAAACCAGACGTGTAAATTAGGCTAGTGCTCAGTGGGCAAAGTATCTATAAAAATAATAACTTTTATTTAGAGTGCCTGTCATGTAGAATAAATGTTTCAAGGTACAGTATTAACAAGAAGGAAGAATTGTGAGCGAAAGCGGTGTGAGCGAGGGAGTGTGAGTAAGGGCGGTTGGGAGTGGGGGTTGTCAAGCAGGGTGAGGAAGGCCAGTAAGAAGTTTTCCTTGAGGTGATAAAGGCATGAACGAGGGTTTCCGCAGGTAAGGGAACAAGCAGATAATGCGCAAGTGTGAAAAAGTCAGTATTCGTATAGCATAAGTTTAAAAAAAGACAAGTCAGGTTAAAAATTCCTTCCCAAATAGGAAGTTTCCTTAAAAAGTGAGATGTGCCTGGCGGTATCAGCTGGACATTTTATCTTTGTAATGATACTGGTCTAAGAAAGTTGCAGCAACCGGAAGAACACAACATTTGCCTTAGGCTAAAATGTGATACTATGCACTTAGGCGAAAACCATCTTGCAACAATTTTCCCACAGGTATATAACATTTGACATTATGTGGTTTGGAGTTGCATTACACTATGGTTTAAAGTCGGTCATGGAAAAAAATTACTATCAGCCATTGAGAAAGACTATGATTAAAATGAAACATAAGAACACTGACTGTAAAACATAAGAAAATGCTCTTTGGGTTAATTAGAATTCAATGTTATGCAGGAATATAAAGAAAACTAAGGAATATTTGATAGTGGAGTCCTGTAGTTCAGTGGTTAGAGCACTTGCCTCGCAAGCGAGAGACCCGGGTTTGATTCCCAGTCAGGGCGAAATGCTGGGCAAGTTTCCTTACTTCACACTCCTCTTTTTACCCAGCAGTAAGTAGGAACCTGCTTGTTAGTTGATTGGCGGATCGCCTTTCCGGGGGTAATAATCCCTTCAAAATAAATAAATAAATATATATAAATAATTTGGTCATTCAATCCACGACTGTGTGTGGGACACTGCTGTGCGCAGTTGGCTGCTGCGTTTTGCCCACAAAATATACAGTCAATTCACTTTACAGTATATTCCGTGAAGCGCTTTGAGATGTCTTGAAGATGTGATAAGTCGCTGTATCAAATGCAAGGATTATTATTATTATATTGGTTGACGATAATCTTAGCTTTAGAGTATTGTGGGATTTTGAAATGTTTGAGAGTGGTTCGAGACACTCTTCTACATGAATGCACTTTATAAGAACAAGTTGTTGTCAATTTCCAAATCTCTTATTAACTTCTGTGTTCTATGTTCCCATGCGGTTAATAATTTTCTCTCCAAGCTCATCACGCCATTCACTAATGTTAAAAACCAATCCCAGTTGTTTCTGTAATTTTGCTGTGGACTGAAGTTCTTGGAATCCGAATGGTCAAAGAATTTGATGGGCTCCGTTTGACAAATACAGTACCATGATTGGTAACTCACAGCTGTTGTCTCCACAACAATGTCTTCCTCCAGTGATAGTTTTCTGAAGAGAAATTCGTTGGCAGTTTAGAAGACACATAATCTTTACATGTAGTGCTTTGAGAATCCCCAAATGACCTAACTATGAATAGGTAGAATTGATGGGAATCTTTAAATGGGAGAAAGGCAGATACTTAGACTTAGAAAGGAAGAGTTTTAAAGTATATGGATAAAAGGTTTAAAAGATCTTCCATAATCTAATAAAATGAAGAAGCAGTCTTGATGGGCTGAATGGTCTCTTCCTGTTTCTATTTTCTTATCTCATGTCCCTCTTGATTGGTTTACAGAAAAATAATCTTAGCAAGAATTAGCAATAATGTACTGTTTTAGTTGCTATGACTCCATCACAATGCCCGTCTCCGTCTGTACCTCGCAACTAATGCTGCCGAAACGCTCGTCCACACCTTCGTCACTTCCCGGCTGGACTACTCCAATGCCCTCCTCGTTGGTCTTTCCAGCTCCACCGTACACAAAATACAATTAATTCAAAACTCCGCTGCCCGGATACTCACCTGCTCAAAACCCCATTAAACCAGTCCTTGCCAGTCTCCACTGGCTTCAAATTACCGAATGGATCGATTTCAAGATCCACTCATTTGTTTTTAAATCCCTTCATGCCCTCGCACCTCCCTACCTGTCCGATCTGCTTAACCCCTATTCCATCACCTGCTGCCTCCGCTCGACTGGCTCCAGTCTCCTGTTTGTCCCTCGTCCTCTCTGCTCCACTATCGGTAGCCCATTGGTGGCCGAGGCCTTCAGCCACTTTGCCCCAAAACTCTGGGACTCTCTCCCTCTTCCCTCAGCCTTGCAGCCTCCCTACTTTCTAATCCTGCTTAAAGATCTTCCTTTTTGGTCGTGCTTCTAGTCACCTCCTCCCTCCCTTTCCCCCTGGCTCGGGATCAGAGTCCGCTACTGTCAAGCGCTCCGGGACGCTACCCTGAGTGAAGGGCACTATATAAAAGCAAGATGTTGTTGTTTTTGTTGTTGTTTCGACTGTTAAACTAATTCATAAAGTGTTTGACATAGCGGAAGAAAACCCACCTAAACCACATCACATCACTGGGGACTGGGGAACATAACATAACTATGATAATTACAAAGATATGAGTCTGGCTTTGCTATCAAAACCTTGCTAATTTAGTAACTATGCTGCCATTTGCTATTTAAAGCATCGATGGCAACCAGACATTAGTGGAGGGGATTGTTACACTTATGTTGAATCTTCAACCCAGAATGCTGACTATTTACAGCATTTGTTTGAGATTAATCCTCATGTCAGTTTGGCTCTTTAATTACTCTTGAACAGCCACAGTATAACACTGTGTTTACATTTTGTGAGACAAAAACAACTTGTATTTATACAACGCCCTGCACATCAGTCGAGGGTTTGCACTTGAAGGAGGTGGGAGAAGTGGAGGGGTGAAGTGTTGGAGTTTCAGAAAGTGGTGATAGATATGCTGAAAGCCGACTGTCACGAACGTGGCAGGCAGGCACGGTGGGGGATATGAAGCAGGTCCATGCTTGCCAAAGATATCCAGTCAATTTACTTTAGAGTATATTCTTTGAAACACTTTGAGACATCGTGAAGATGTGATATCAAAGATTATTATAACATTGTGTGTATATATATATGCAGACCTTGTGTGCATATATACATATATATATATATTGCAGTAAAGTTGTGAAGCCTGGGATTTCGTGAAATCCCTGAAATGTTAGGTAAAATGTTCAGTGAAATTAGGAGTCAGGGATTTCACGAATCTCTGGTCTGAAAATTCGCGGAATCCACGAAATTCCTGGTTTCACAATTTTACTGAATATTTCAGGGATATATAGTTAAGATAGTTAGAAAACGTCACCACTTAAGAAATGTTAGCAAATGAAGTGACACTCTTGAGGGTATTTTGAGGCCATTGTTTATGTAACAATAAATCACATTTAAATTTACACAAGTGTCATTTTTTCACACCTTTGTTATATTCTCCAATTTAGTTTTGTTTCTGGCATTGTTTATTGTGTTTGGGGGCTGTGGGGTAGAGTATTGGAAGTGGTACTGAGCACCAGGATGATCCCGTGCTTTCAGGAGAAGCGTTTGAAGCAGAATAAACAGTTGAGTAGCTAACGCNTTTTTTTGTTGGAACGGCTTGTATTTCCAGGAATGCAGAACGTTGGTTGAAAGGAATGTGAAGGAAAAAATTATTCAGATGGAAGAAGAGTGCAGACGAATACTAAACAATGTGGAAGAAATCCAGCAGAAGGTCAAAGATCTGGACAATCAAATGGCTGAGTCTTCACAAGAGGTACTGCATGAAAATATAACTTCCCTGATACATAGAAAATTAACCCAATTTAGAACTGAGCTTGCAAGTGACTCAAGGCAGGATATCCTGCATTTTCACTAGGGTCCACTGGAGCTTGATAAAAGTATAATCTGTGTGTTAACAGAAAATATCACATCAGCAATCGGACTTTCAGCCTATCTGCCCCCAGTCTCTGGAACTTCATCTCAGAGTCCCTTCAACTAGTTTATGTTTAATAATAACAATAATCCTTGTATTCAATATAATGCCTTATCACATCTTTGAGACATCTCAAAGCTCTTTGATAGGTTCTAGTAATTAAATAACCTAAGACTTGAAATGTTTTAGTACTCAAGTTCATGTAGCATACAGGAATCTTTAAACTGTGTTTCTTTGTATACTGTGTCAATTTTTTCTACCAGGTCCAATACCTGGGGTGAAAATTGCAAGCGATGATGTACTCATCATTAATTCATCATTGAAAATTATACTCTGTAATTAACTAAAAACTAATTACTTTGTGACAATCAGTCACCATGATTGGGCTTAAACCCATTGGACCTGAGTGCATTGGATTGCTGGTCTGTGTAGAGCAGTTTTAGACTGATGATGAGTGGGATATCAGCTTAACTCAACAACGTAAAATTCACCCTTTTTAAATATTAGCTAAAGATCTTTATCGTAAGAAAAAATAGTTGCTCGCTATTTTCCATTGCTCACAATATGAGAATAACAAACACTTAAAAACAATTACCTCAGGCTTTTAAATATGAATTTAAATTCATACTTAATTATGAAAATGCAGTGTAAACCATAGATAATTGTTAGGTAAGGGACATTAAACAACCATAACATTCACCCTATGTAGCAATCATGGCTTTGTGATATATCAGAAGGAGAGGCGACAAATGTAATTATGATCCTAGTGATGCTCACCACTGCTGCTCTGCATTCCTGCAGCTTTGCCAAAGTTGGCGAATGCTACGTAGTTCTTTGATTGAGTTGCTCATTGCTAAGTGGTAGGCAGTCCTGGTAAGACAGTTATAAACACAATTTTCATTTTTTCTTCAATTGTAAAAGACTTGTCCTCACCTTCAAAGCCCTCCATGATCTTGCTCCCCCCTACCTCTCAGCGGGCTCTGGCCTGCTTCACGTCTCCCGCCTCACTCGTCCCACAATTGGCGGGCAGGCCTTCTGCCACTCTGCCCCCACCTTCTGGAACTCCATCCCGCAACAACAACAACAAAATTATATTTATAGAGTGCCCTTCACGTCGGGAGGACGTCCCAAAACGCTGAACAGTCAGGTGTCAGGGCCCAAGCATGGGTGAGGGGTGATGTAAGGGTGAGGGAAGGCAGAGAGGTGGGAGGGAGACCAAAGGCGCGGTCAAAGAGAAGGGTCTTGAGACCGGCCTTGAAGGAGGCGAGGGAGGACACGAGGCAAAGGGACCGTGGGATGGAGTTCCAGAGTGTGGGGGCAGAGAGACTGAAAGCCCGGCCACCAATGGTAGTGCGGGTTGGGTGGGAGACATGGAGCAGGCTGGAGCCCGCTGAACGGAGGATGGCCTTAAAGGTGAGGACGATGATCTTGAACTCGATCCTCTGGGGGATGGGGAGCAGTGGAGTCGGGCGAGGGTGGGAGTGATGGGGTCACGGAGCCTGGTGCGTGAGAGTACACGAGCTGCAGAGTTTTGGATGATCTGCAGCTTGTGAAGGGAAGAGTTGGGAAGACCGATGAGGAAGGATTTCCCGTAATCGAGCCTTGAGGTGACGAATGTGTGGGTGAGGGTTTCAGCAGCCTGAGGGGTGAAGCAGTGGTGGAGTCTGGCCATGGAGGTGGTGGTCGGCAGTGCCGGTCATGGAGTGGATGTGGGGTAGAAAGGACAGTTCAGGGTCAAACAAGATACCCAGGTTCCTGACTGGCTTAGTGAGGTCCCTCCTCCTCGCCCCCTCCCTTGCCTCCTTCAAGATCCATCTCAAGACCCACTCTTCGGCCATGCTTTTGATCACCCTGCTTCCCCCCCTGCCCCCTGCCCTCCATCTTCCCCGATTCCGACCCCCAGCTCGGGTCCGAAACTCTGTCTGTCCAGCACCTTGGGACTTCCTCCCGACGTAAAAGGCGCTATACAAATATAATTTTGTTGTTGTTTATATTGCACATTTACCTACTTACGTGCCTTTGTGTGCCTTATGCTTCTCCAAGTATCAGAGAAAATTTGAGGCCAGTGCAAACGAGCCAGACCTCACTGGTCCTAGCCAATATGCTGTATACTCTAGCAGAATGCCAATAATAGGCTTTCATACACGGCACTGATACGCAAATCATAAGAGAGCAAGCCAAAGACACTAAGTACAATTTGTACAGTAAACCATACTAAACGGGCAACTTGAAGAATTTTAAAATATTAACTTTTTTCAGTTATGTTTAGCGCTTCTAATGTACATTCCCAGTCTGCTTCCTTCTCTCAGACTGGTTAGTTTGCTTCGTTTCATGTGTCTAATTTGCATTTCCACTTGACGTTCTTCAGAAACTTTTTATTTTGTGTCCCAGTTTGCTCTTAAAACATTTTCCATGAATTGCCATTGATATCTGTTGCCTTACAGTGACCCATGTCAAGTAACCTATTCATTCACCATTGCAAACAAGTCACACCTCAGCTAACCTATTTATTGTACTGAATACACAGAGGATGACATACCAATTCTTGTTTGATATGATATTTAACAATGATTCCATCTGGCCACATGTTTTATTATAATAATAATATAATAATAAAGGTACTAGTATTGTGCTTGTTTTACACTCAGTATAGCCACTGAACTACTATAAATTACTACACGATCCTGCTTTGGTAGGAGACTTACAACGCTCATAGTCAAACAGCCAAACAAATGCAAAACTTCTTCACTTTTGCATTATGTGGGCAAGTTCACTTGTTTAAATGTCATCCCATGCTGCAATTGGCATGGCACTCCCCATATATCCAGCGGAGTAAATATGCCAGATGAGCTTTGCAATGTTTACTATTAACTTAGTGCAAATGTACTGATAACTCAGCTCTTAGCATTTGAAATATGGAATGCATTTGATGCTTTTCAAAATCTGAAAATTTTACTTTCTCCAAAATGTACATTTTAAATCTCAGTAGAATCAGAGAAATTGAAAAAGCCCGCAGAGCATATTTTCCCATATACTTTACAAAAAATGTAAAGCCCTTGTTATAATTCAAGAGATTTGCTGGTTTAATGTTTTCAGATGGAGATGGAACGTGCTTTGTTGGAAGGGGAGCAGGACTCTGAAACAACTCATATTCAACATGAGAAAGATGTGTTGGGTCAGCTACACAGAAGGATAGCTGATCTGGAAGCTAGTGCCAATTCTGAAAAGGCTAAGGTAGGAATCATTGAAAAGATACTGCTGAGGCGACATAGTGCTAATCCATTAACTTTGACTTATTCTTTAATTCCCATATTCTGGATTCAGAGTGCTGGAGAATTGAACACTTTCATGTTGAGTTGCAGTTTTACTCAGTGATTCACAGGCTGTGCAAAAAATACTTTGTTTTTTTCATAAGAAGACGCTTACTTTGTTTATTTCCCCAATTGGTTGTTGCTTGAAGCTACCCAGATTCAATGGGTGAACTGTACAACTCCACAAACATTCTTTCACCGATTGCTCATGATATATCCGATCGACAAAAACACGGACGCTTGATGCACATATAGCTTACAGTGCTACAATTCCCAGAACGCTGCACGTGCGATGCTCTCCTGCAATGCAATGTGTGCCTGTTCCTGGAACCAGAGATGTTGTACGTGTGTGTGATTCAATGGTCGAGCCTTCATTTGTTACCTCTGGAACTCCCTGCATCGATCCCTCCGCCTCGGGTCATCTATCTTTAGTTAAGTCCAACGTGAAAACCTAACTCTTCGACCACACCTGACTTCCTTCTTTCTTGCTTGACATCCAACCTGTAATTGTGAAGCGCCTTGGGACTTCCTAAGACATTACTCAATGTGAAGGATACTACATAAATATAAGCTGTTGTTGTGAATTTGATGTCCAGGCATTAACCAAACCCAATGTGTACACATCTTGGACCCACCATCTCCCCCACCAAAAAAAAACAGAATTTTTTTTTAATCGAAAACCGACTTTAAACTTTCACTTTCACCAAGGTCTCGGTTGAAGACCTTTCTTTTCAACTGCGCCTTTGGTCACCTTCCTCCCCCTCCCCATGGATCGGCCCCAGGATCCGTTACTGTGAAGTGCTCTGAGTTGCCATCCGGCATGGAGGGGGCTATATAAATCCAACTTGTTGTTGTTGTAAAATGGCATTTATGGTGAAAAACTATTTTAAAAAAAGCTTTTGAACGCTCGTGAAATGTGAGTCAGAAGTTTTCTGGTATCAGATTTTCAGCCTAAATCCTCTGTGTTAAAATGGTTTGACATATTTATTGGAGATAAAAATGATCAGTTTCCAATAGCTGTTTCAAACATTGAAAGTGGTTTGCTTCACCTATTGGCAAAAAAACCATTGAGCTCATTAGTAAGGGAAAGGGGGACTGATCCAATTAAAGTGAACCATCTTGTGGAGTCTTAAGGGGCCAGGGGTCCTATTGCTTATAGATTTCTGATCTGATGCCGGAACAGGGACAGAGTGCAACATTGCACTGCAACATTGAACATTATTCTTGCTGAAAGCAGCTGCCCATCAGGTAGCTGATGAGGAAACTCTGAGGCTTGGGACAGTTGCTGGAAGGTGTTACCTGGCGTCCCGGTTTGTGGACTCACCTTCATATATCCAGTGCTGGGAATCCATCTTGATTTGGATTGCACTTCCAACTGGTAGAACATGGTCAATGAAGAGGGATATGTGTCTGAACTGTGGGCAGGAGGACATACCAATGCTCTTACATTCCATGCTGACCTATGCTGTTCAACAGGGAGCTCACAGAGAATTCAAGCCACCTTGCGAGGACTCAAACCTGTGCTTGTCAGTTGTCAGAAGATTAACTATTGACTATTGTCCTTGGATGGGGATAGGGAGAGGGGGGGTAAGTGTGGTGTTCTTTAAGATCCGGTGTCTCCGAGGTGATGTTCTTGGCAATTGAATATTGGAATTGAGCCAATTCTCTGTGGCGATTGCTGTAATCTAGCTCCTGCAGTACTCCAAGACGTGCGGATGCCAGACTAGCTAGCGTGGTTCAAGCAGGGCTCTGAGGGACAGATTGGGGCCAGGGATTCTTCTCACTCAGCCCCTGATAACCTTGCAAACGAAAGCTCTAACAAGAGGGTGGTCCTAGCTGGACAAGCATCGGGAAGCTTGTCAAATGGTACTCTCAGTGGCAAGTTATGAAGTTTTAGCTGATTAAACTCCAGTAATATACTAACGAACACCCTCGGTTCCCCAAGCCTCGACTCTCATTAACCTGTGCCTAATGCATTCCAGAATTTGGTAAGCAGGGTGCATCCCTCCAGGGAGAGAGTGCGCTTTCCACTTCAGACACAGGGACATTTTCCATGTATTGGTGCCATGAATCTGTAGGACCCTGGTTTGGAATTTTATGCATGGTGATGGGTTTCCACATGTGCCAGACACATGACTGCAGAGCGAAGATATTATACAGTAATGTAAGTAATACCATCCCACACATACCAAGCCATCTAACCATTTTATATCCACAGGAAACATTACATATTTGTCTAGTAATTGCGATTACTGGGAAGCAATAAATCGTCAGTCTTAAAATGTCTTAATGAGAAACAGCTTAAAAACCTACACAGTCCTAAACTTTTAGATGTGATGGTCTTACAAACTAAGACTAGATGGAGTTTTGAGCCTCTGATTGATCTGATTTAGGAGATAGTGAGTAGCTGCTCTTAGGCAGTCAGTATAGAGGGCTTCCTGACTTCTACAGGGATTTCCGAATAATTTGGCCAAGGACCTTCTGCACATCACTGCTTTATACAGAGAGCACAGGAATGGATATCCTCTCATCTCCACCACTGATCTGAGAACAACAGAGGTGTAACAATAACAACTATATAATGCCCTTCACCCAGGGCAGCGAGCCAGAGAGCTTGAGAGTGGCGGAGTCTGGGGAGAGGGAGGAGGGAGGTGACCTTGAACACAATCAAAAAGAAAGGTCTTTAGGCTGGATTTGAAAGTGGAGATGGAGGGAGGGGCAAGGCGGATGGATTGAGGGAAAGAGTTCCAGAGTTTCGGGGAGTAGTGGCTAAAGACACGGCCATCGACGGTGGAGCGGAGGGGACGAAGCACTATATGAGGTGACAATTTGCTGAATGATTTGAGAGAATGTCATTTTTCTGAACATGTCAACTAGAATGTTATGTTTTGTACAATTCCAACTATTTTGAAATGTGGGAAGAATGATGTGACTTTTTAGGGAATTTTGAATTATGCTGTCCTGTGTGTTAGCTTTGCATATGTTAGTATCTGGTAGGAAATTATACTTGCGCAGTAAATCAACTTGACCTGGTGCTACCAACCTGCTATGACTTAGTGATCAGTAATACTCTCTGTCTGTTTCTCTTTGTCTCTTTCTCCGGTCCCGTAATGTATTTGTTTCAGACGTCTGAAAGAACAAACTCAATAAATCCCGCTAACGGTAATTTGTCCCACCTCAGATTAATGTGCACATGCTAAGGATAAACATACAATACAAAATTACATTTGTAAAACGCTGAACTGACTCCCAGATAACATTACTGGCATTGGAATGTCGGAATCAAGTCAGCCATCTGTGATGGTCCTGGTCGTCTGGAGTATTCCAGGGCACTGCTGATGACAGCACAGCCAGCCTGGCTCATCGACAGGGCAGACCAGTCACTGGGGGCAGGGAGTCATCCCCCTCAGCTCTTGTTAACCCTGTAAGCCAAAGCCCTAATGAGTAGGGTGGTCCTAACTGGACAAGCAGCGGGAAAGCTTTCCAGCCAGCAATATCCATGGCAAGCTACGTAGTTTTGGCTGGTTACTCCAGCAGTACCCCAACACACACTCTGGGGTCCTTGGGCCTTGGCTCTTGCCAATTTGTGCGTAATACTTTCCGGAATTAGGTAAACAGGATGCGTCCTTCTCGGGAGAGAGTGCGCATTCCATTCCAACAATCTATCTCTGGGATTTCCGTGTGTGGGTGGGATGCATGGAAATCTCAGTTTAGTTTGGATACTCTTAAGCATGGTGATGGGTTTCCACATGTGACAGACACACAGCTGATCAAAGAAACATTTTAGTGACAAGATACTTATTCAACCTAACCTAATTAAGTAATCAGACCAATGTAAATCTGTTTAAGGATCATTAAATTGAAGTGAGGAGAGAAAACTGGAGGTCAGAGATTGGATGTAACCTCAAGAAGAGTTAGTCCACAAAAGACAGATTAAATGGTCATGGCAGATTAAATAGTTCTGGACATGTCTGTTGTTTGTGTTTGAGTGTTGTTTTATGAAACAAAGGTCATTGGAATAAATCAGTTACGAAGCCTGGAGCAGTCCTGGTAGAGTTCCCTTTTCCTAGTAGAGTTCATTTTCCCTGGTATTTTCTACTCTGTAGGATTCTTTTTTATAATCTGAATGCCTCATACCATTCTTCATTGTTTCAAAATCCTTCAAAAATTTTACTTCTTTGACCATGCCTTTGCTCAATTCTCTCCTAACACACTAACTTTCCACCTTGTTAGGCAAGTTTCCTTACTCCACACGCCTCTGTTTACCTAGCAGTAAGCAGGAACCCGGTTGTTAGTCGATTGGTGAATCACTTTTCCGGAGGTAATAATCCCTTCAAATAAATAAATAATTTTGGTCATTCAAGCCATGACTGTTTGTGGGACACTGCTGTGCGCAATTGGCTGCCACGTTTCGCCCACAAAATACAAAATATTGTCCGGTATTTCAGAACATCCAAAATTTGGTAAAAGTTGAATTCAGTCTTAACTTTGAAGTTGGTTTCCTGTAGTTCCTAATAGAATTTGTAGGAAACTGACTACAAAATTGAGATTGTATTTAAGAATTTGCCAAATTCAGAATGCTCTCTAAAATGTTACATAAAAAGAGTAAATGTTGATTCAGGTGAAATTTCTCCTCAAGTGTGATCATAAGGTAACATCTCCTTTCATTGGATGTAAAATTATGTATATTTTCATTAGTTTTCTAATATTAGATCTTTACATGAAATAACTGGATGATTTTTTTAAAATTAGAAAGCTTAATTCTTCTCTCTGTATCTTGTAACTAGTTTTTGCTGCCAGCTTTTAATTGCATTGTTCTATTGTTTGGTTGTATCACAATCACAGTTTGCATGAGACATGCATGTAAGCATCTTTGATTCATATTGCATTAGATTATTAATTACTGGAAGATCACTGTTCCAACAGCTTGTTGTTAAAGCATTCTTTCCTTTCTGTCTGATATGAGAACAGCTTTGATTGAAATACTGCTTCACGTACATATTGATCTCAAAGAAGATGGGCTTGCTAACAGCTTTTTGCATGGGCTAATTATAAACCACCTTTCCTTTTTTGTTATTCTGTACTCTGCTTTTAGGAAAAAACAAATTTGAAAGCTGAGAAAGAAAAGATAGAAAGGCTTCAAGATCTTTACTCTGAGTTGAAGACCCAGCTTCATAACTGTCCAGAGTCCATGAGAGAGGGTTTGCAAGAACAGTTGAAGAGGGTCAGTAATTCACTGGTTCATGAGATTGTCATTTCTAACCATATTTTAATAATCTTTTTCCTCTACAAAGTTCAAGATTCACATAATTGCTAAGGTAATACTTTTATTAAAATGCCTAATTTACAAATCTGACTAATTTAACATGACGGTTATCCAGGACCAAGAAAAGATTATTATTTATGACGAATAAATGTGCGGGATAATTGAAATACTAAAATCAGATTCTAATACATTTATTTTTCATGTTAACCTTACATGAGAAAATGTGGACTACATATGAAATAAATCTCCACGTTAAGATGGATTTGAAAACAATGATGACGAAACAGAGCATGTTAATTGCAAAAGTGAAGGTCAATATCAGAGTCAATGTGGGATTTATTTTAGCTTCTGTTTTGTAATACTTCTTGGATTATTTGACAAGTTAACAGAACTGGAAGATGATGGCAGCCCAGTGGAAATAAATCTATTTAAAGTTTCAGAAGGCATTTGATGAGGTTCCACTTGTAAAGTTTTCGAAGAAGATTAAGATTCATAGTGTCAATGACCAGTAGCTGTATTGAAGTTTGGCTTGGCAGCCGAGAATAAAAGGTGTTAGTAAATGAAGAAAGCTCTATCTCAAGGCAGTAACCCATGTAGCTGCTCAAGGTTCATACTATTAGAAAATGATAGGGAAGAGAGGAATTCACTGTGAAAATAAGACAGTTGAGTTTATATCTGGAGAGGTTCTAATATTTGGAAAAGTACATTGTGTAGTATGTTGGATGAGAGCAATACTTTGTGTTGTACACCTTCAGACTGAACTTCATGGGTGTCTCAGTTCAGCTCAATATCTGTGCCCTGGGATATTGCCAGGCAAAAGAGGAATAATAACACATTTCTGGCCTTGTTGGGGAGAATATGATAATGAATATCTTTTGGAGCAGCGGGATGAAACTGTGGATAGTGCTGGCATGACATGAAAAGGTGTGGTACACATCTGCTATTTTAATTGTTATCATGCCAGTTACTGCATAAGTAGTCTCTCTCGGACATGTGTGCAGTTTACTTTGCCTCAAGACAGTCAGTCATTCTTTATGTTATAATCAGATTGCAGTCAAGGAGTGTAGCAGCTGCTGACAAACAAGGTATAGTGTTTGTTCAATCCTATCTCCTAAAGCCTTTGGGCATTATTGTTTCTATGGCCCACGTTTGGGGGACATATGAGCTTAGGAGCTCTAGAGTAGCTGAGATGCCATCTTTATGCTCTATTTGTCTTCTGATGCCAGCTGTCAGAAACTCTCCCACTGAGTATCAGTTGTCCGGTTGTGAGCGCTTAGGAATTTTGGCTCTAAACTAAGGTCTATTGCAGACACGCCTCAGCTAATTTCCTGACTAGTGCTATTATCAAAGGGAAATGGCTGGGCTGTCTGTAATTTTTAGCATTGCCCATCCTGAACACTTTTGAATTCCTGTAGCTAACTTGATCAGCTCAGTACAGACTCTGCTGACTATGGTTGAGAAGGCTGCAGTAATGTGATGCTCTTGAGGCTTTTTGATCATCATTACCTTGGCAAGCTCAGTGCTTTTGCCAGTACAGTAAAAGGGTTGCATTGGTGTCTGATTTCTCAGTGTCCCAAATCAATGCTACCTGGGTTGTTTTGATTTTATTGCCCAAGGAAGAAGCTCCCACATAAAGTACGAATTGTGTTATAAACATGTATGTCTTTTGTGATGCGAATGAAGTCTTGAGGATAGGAAGGCCCACAATTGTTGAAGCTCAGTCTCCAGATAAATGAGTCATAAGGCCTGATAAGCAAAGTCAAAGTGACCCTGTTTAGGTCTGTCTGATGTAGTTTAGCCCCTATAAAAAGTACACTAAGAGAATTAGAGGGTTTGGTTTTATCCTTGTTGCTCTCTCCTTGGAGGGATGCATCCTGCTTAACTAATTCTAGAAAGTAATAGGTGCAGGTTTGCAAGAGCCAAGGCTCAGGGACACCACTACTGCTGGAGTCTAACAATAACAACAATAAAATTACTTTTGTAAAGTGCCTTTCACGTCGGGAGGATGTCCCAACCTGCTAAAACCACAGCTTTCCATTGAAAGCACTGTCTGAAACCAGCTCGGGTCTGAAATGCTGTACTCTGTCCAGCACCTTGGGACGTTCTCCTGATGTGAAAGGCGCTAGACAAATGTAACCTTGTTGTTGTTGTCTGCCAAGCTTTCCTGCTCCTTGTACAGCTTGAACCACCTTTGGCATTAGGGTTTGGCTTGCAGGGTTAACAGAAGTGAATAGGAGGAGTCCCTACGCCCATTGACACAGCCTGGCTGTGCTCTTATCAATGCTATTAGCAGTGCCCTGGAATACTGCGGACCCGTCTGGTTCAAGAACTGGTTTACTAAGACCACCACTGACTGCCAGAAGACTGGTTCAATTTTGACATTCTATTGCCAAACATGTCACCTTGGAACCAGTTCAGCTCCAAGGAGACCACACTTTCTTCCTCCCAAGAGGATAGGATGGTTCCACATGTGTTGGACGGATCACCAATTGTAAGAAGCCACTGAAATATTTAAAACTGAGCATGAGATCGTGCATAGGAAATTTTCTTTTACTGTAATTTATAGATCCTCAAAATTCAAAGCTTAAAGGCTAACCTGTAGAAGGGCTCGGGTATAAAGTTTGACTGGATTTTGGTCCAAAATTCAGCAGTACTTAGGGAAACCAATCTATTTTGTGTAATCTTGTTTGTCTTCAACCCAACAAACACATTCAGCAATCACCCCCCAGTAACAGATCAGTGCTGAATCAGACTCTATACCTAATTGTTATTTTGCGAACTGCTTTGATTGGAAAAAATGCAAAGATTAGGGAAAAGAAAGGGCCAAAGTCTTTTTCTTTTTATTGTATGGCTGACTTCAAACTGTTTTCTCCAGTAAGGCACCTTGAATTGTGTAGTATAGTTTGATGCCTTTGATAAAAAACTTTGCATTTGTTACAGCACCTTATGACGGTTATTGAGGTGTCTCAAAACACTTGATAGGATAAACTGTAAAGTGGTGTGACTATATTTTGTGAGCGAACGTGGCAACAAATTTGTGCACAGCAAAATGTCCCACAAACAGCCAATGTAGTCAATGACCAATAGGAGGATCGTGTAGAATATCACAAACATCATGTGACTCTATAACAATTTCAGCAAAAGGCCCTCTCTGTACTCATCTTTAAATCCCACCTTAAAATATTCTACATGTTTTTGCTACTGTCATTCACTCCATGGTTGTTTGTGGAAATTGCTGTGCGGAGAACACACAGAAGAACAAAATTTGCATTTAATATCAGAATATTCAATGAAACTTTGGGAAGATCACCTCAATAAGATGTCAGCAGATTGACTGTCTTCTTAAACAAACAAGTATCTGTGGATGATTTCCCCATGCCCCACAAATAATAATTCTGAACAAACTGCATGTGTAAAGTTGAGTAAATTAGGAAGAATGTATCTGTATTTAGTTCATACTTGCCCATTCATTTTTGTCTTAGTAGATGGTTTCAGTTATTGCGAGTAGTAAATGAAGAACTCATCTCTGTGCTTTGTTCATTGCTGTTAGCACTTGACGGAAACCAATCTGAAAACCACCAGTTACAAATCCTCTGGCTTTAAGACACTCGTGGTCTCTTCCTATTTCAGAGGATGATAGATCAACAACAACACCAACAAAATTACATTTGTGTAGCACCTTTCACGTCGGGAGGAGGTCCCAAGGCACTGGACAGACAGAGTTTTTGACCCGAACTAGGAGTCGGGATCGGGGAGGGTGAAGGGCAGGGGGGGGAAGCAGGGAGATCAAAAGCACGGTCGAAGAGGAGGGTCTTGAGATGGGTCTTGAGAGAGGCAAGGGAGGGGGTGAAGCGGAGGGACTGCGGGATGGAGCTCCAGAGGGTGGGGACAGAGTGGCAGAAGGCCCACCCGCCAATAGTGGGACGAGTGAGGCGGGGGCTGTGAAGCAGGCCAAAGCCTTCTAACGGAGGGAGCGAGCAGGATGGTAGGGGGTTAGGAGGATTCAGAGGTAGGGAGGAGCAAGACCATGGAGGGTTTTGCATTTGATATAATGCCTTATCATGTCCTTTGTCAAAGGGCAATGTCTGACCTCTTGTGACTGGTGATATCATTCCTGTATGTCACTGTGAGATGCTTTTGTGGAGGATCCTACCCTGAGATGATTAAAATGAAACATAAAAAGGAGGCTTATGATAAATGCCAGGTTCATAACACAGTAGAAAATCAAGTAGAATACAGAAAGTGCAGAGGAGAATTGAAAAAGGGAATAAGACAGGTAAAGAGAGTATATGATAAAAGATTAGTGGATAACATAAAAGGGAACACACAGATTTTTATAACCAAATTAAGAGTAAAACAATGGTCAAAGGAAGGGTGGGGCCGATTAGGGATCAAAATGGAAAGCTTCTTGAGGAGGCAGTAGGCATGGCTGAGGTACTGAATGAGTACATCTGTCTTCACAAAAGAAGAGGATGCTGCTAATGTCACAGTAAAGGTGGAGGAGGTAAAGAAATTGGATAGGATATAAATAGATAGAGAGGAGGTACTGAAAAGGTTGGCAATGCTCAAAGTAGAAAAGTCACATGGACTGGATGGGATGTATCCAAGATTGCTGAGGGAAGTAAGGGTAGAAATAGCTGAGGCTCTGCCACAATGTTTCAATCCTCCTTGGATATGGGAGTGGTGCCAGAGGATTGCAAATGTTACACCCCTGTTCAAAAAAGGGGATAGGGATAAACTTGGTAACTACAGACCAAGTCAGTCTCACGTCAGTGGAAGAGAAACTTCTAGAGACCATTATCCGTGACAAAAATAATTTTCACTTGGAAAAACATGCGTTAATAAAGGACAGCCAACAAGGCAAATTGTGTCTAACTAACTTGATGGAGTTCTTCGATGCAGTAATGGAGAGGGTGGGTGAAGGTAGTGCAGTTGATGTAGAGTATATGGACATTCAAAGGCGTTTGATAAAGTGCCACATACAATACAAAATTACATTTGTAAAGCGCCTTTTGCGTGGGGAGGTGCTGAACAGTCAGGGATTAAGACCTGTGTGGGGGGGTGGTGTGGTGGTTGGGATCAGCGAGGGTGGAGGGTAGAGAGGGTAGGAGGGTGGTCGAAGGCACGGTTGAAGAGGAGGGTCTTGAGGTGTGCCTTGAAGAGGTAAGGGAGATAGCAAGATGAAGGGAATGTGGGATGGAATTCCAGAGGTTGGGTCAAAGAGGCTGAAGGCCCGATCGCTGATGGTGGGGCAGGCCAGGCAGGGAACATGGAGAAACCTGCTGAGTGGAGGGAACGGACAGGTTGATAAGAGGTTAGCAGGTCGAAGAGGTAGGAGGGGGCAAGACCATGGAGGGCTTTGAAGATAATATTATCACATAATAGATTTGTTAGCAAAATTGAAGCCCATGGGATTAAGGAAACAGTAGCAACATGGATCTGAAATTGACTGAGTGTAGTGTTGAACGGTTGTTTTTCAGACTGGAGGGAAGTATACAGTGATGTCCCCCAAGAGTCAGTATTAGGACCACTGCTCTTTTTAATAAATATTAATGACCTGGTATATAGAGCAAAATCTTTTAAAGTTCGCAGATGACACAAAACATGGAAACATAGTAAACAGTGAGGAAGATAGTAGCAGACTGCAGGAGGACATAATAATAATAATAATGATCCTTGTATTTGATATAGCATCTTATCACATCCATGGGATATCTCAAAGCGCTTCACAGAATACATTGCAAAGTGACTGTGTGTTTTGTGGATGAAATGCTGCAGCCAATTGCACACAGCAGTGTCCCACTAGATTGAGTGACCAAAATATTATTATTATTTTGGAGGGATTAGTACCCGCGGAAAGCAATCCACAAATCGACTAACAACCGGGTTCCTACTTATTGCTAGGTAAACAGAGACATGTGTGGAGTAAAGAAATTTGCTCAAAGTTTCACCCTGCCTGGGATTCAAACACAGGTCCTCTCACTTGCTGGTGAAATGGCAGACACATGGCAGATATAATTTAATGCAGAGAAGTGTGAAGTGATACATTTTCGGAGGAGGAATGAGGAGAGGCAATATAAGATAAATTTTAAAGGGGGTTCAGGAACAGAGAGACCTGAGGGTTCACATGCACAAATCTTTGAAGGTGGCAGGACAAGTTGACAAAGTGATGTTAAACCTTTACAAATTGCGAGGGGGTGGGACTATTTAATAACTCTTTCAAAGAACCGGCAGAGGCACAATGGGCCAATGGCCTCCTTCTGTTTTATTTTAGGAAATAATATCATGGGATACAGTATAGTTTGGGACTTGACATGTGCATGTGACTGCCAGAATGGTGGGAGGCGAACTGGATGGACCTTGGTCTTCTTTTGTTGAGCAATTCTGATGTTCTTGTGTTCTTATTTATGAGCTACGTTATGTTATTCTGGTTCTGGGTGGCATTCAGTGGTCCTCACCTTATTTTCCTTTTCCTTCTCCTCATCTTCATCCTGGAATCCTGTAGTTCAGTGGTTAGAGCACTTACCTTGCAAGTGAAAGACCTGGTTTGATTCCCAGGCAGGACGAAATGTTGAGCAAGTTTCCTTACTCTATACGCATCTGTTTACCAAGCATTAAGTAGGAACCCGGTTGTTAGTCGATTGTTGGATTGCTTTTCCGGGGGTAATAATTCCTTCAAAAAAATAGTAATAATGAATTGGTCACATCAATCCATGATTGTTTGTGGAACACTGTTGTGTGCAATTGACTGCTGCATTTTGTCCACAAAATATATTTCACTTTACAGTATATTCTGTGAAGTGCTTTGAGAATTCTCGAAGAGATGATAAAGCGCTATATCAAATGCAAGGATTATTATTATTATTATTGCTGGTTTTCAGAGGGGGTCTTGGCTATGTGTGGGACATCTGGGTGGATATAAAAGTATAATTTAAATTCATGAAAGTACTGCACTTAACTCATAATACTGTGACTAACATTTCAGTTTTGTTTCCAACAAAACTTTGTGGGAGGCAATATAAGGGAGGCAACTGTTGGATACTGGATATCATACATACGTGTTTGTGTCTGTGTGTGCTCTGTCTGTCTGTCTGTCTGTCTGTCTGTCTGTCTGTCTGTCTGTCTGTCTGTCTGTCTGTCTGTCTGTCTGTCTGCCTCTCTCTCTCTCTCAGCATTTCGGTTATTATTCATTAGTTAGACTCTTTGAATATTAATCGAATACTTCTTCCATCGGGAATAATCCTGCTACTTTGCCGTACTGTGCTAGCCCTTCTCTTCCTCTCTTAGTCTTTTTCTCTCTCTCTATCTGACTCTCTACCTCTTGCTGTCTCTCTCCTATCCCTTTTCTCTGCCTCTAACATTTTATTGTATTTCTTGCTGTGTCTTTGACTTGTTTTCTTTCTCTGACTAACATATCCTCCTCCCGAAACGTTATGGGGATGGAGCAGCACAAAGCCGAACTATCATAGATTTTGTGCATGAAGGATGTGGCATACAGAATCAAAAAATTCACAGTTTTCAAATCCTGCACAGCAAACTAACTGGAAGATAATTATAATAATAATCTTTGCATTTGACACAGCATCTTATCACAACATCGAGACATCTCAAAGCGCTTAACAGAATATACTGTAAATTGAATTGTCCGTGTATGTTGTGGCCGATGGGGCTGATGGTAGAGCAAGTGCTCTGGGATGCTATCCTGCGTGAAGGGCGCTAAATAAATGCAAGTGATAGGGGAAGAATTAAAGGGTATGGTGAATGTAAGTGGGGTCTTCTTGGAGCTGGACTGGCTCCAAGGTGATGTGCTTGGCAATAGAAAGTCAGAAAAGACTTAATCCTCTGTGGCAGTCTCCTCAATCAGGTGGGTCACAATTCTCCAGAGGACTATTGAACACAGACCAGCCAGGCTGGCTCATCAGCTAGACTTAGAGGGGTAGATCAGACCAGACCCGTCACTGGCGGCAAAGATTATGTCTCTGTCTCCGATCTTAAACTGCATCTGTAATAAATCTGTAATAAATTATTAAATAAATACGCTCGGGTCATGTTGTTGGATTAAAGTCATGCAGACAAGGTCGTTAAATGTATTAATTTTGGGAGAATCGCTCTTAATTAATATAATTCAATATAAAATTACATCAAATGTTACAATACAAAAACAGGCCATTTCGCCAAATTAGTCTGTGCTAGTGTTTATACTCCACACAAACCACCATTCCTCCTAAACCCCTCTCCTGTACTCTCTCTAGTTCATTCTCCCTCATGTGTGCATCACGTTTCCTGTTAAATGCATCAATAATACAGCTGTTTTTAGGAATCTACATTTTGATTCTGTAATTACTTTCAAAATCTTTCCATATACGTGTCAAGATTTTGTTTCGGGAATTCTAAGTGCCATTTTCGCTCTGTCAACGCCCTTTAAAAAATAAAAGTATTGATTAATTAAGAAAACCCAAGTGGTGAATTTTCTGTTTCGCTCATTAATTTGTGCTGTTACCTACAGTGGAAACAAGATTCAAAGGCAGGAATGGAAAGTGAAGTGTGGAAAGCAGAGCTGAACTATCAATGCCTTCATTGGCAAACAAATAAGAGTGATGGCAGTGGACATGGGTTCTGTCATCCTGCTCTGGTGTATGAGGAGATGGAGCAGGAGAAAGTGGTGGGGGAATAGAGAAAATACAAACTCCTATTCTTTGATATAGACCAGTTATTTCATTGATTCAATTGAAAACATGAATCAGACTAATGAACATTTCTATATTGATAATCCTTGCCTTTGAAAATGTGCCTACGCATGTTTCAAGATGTCTCAAAATGCTTTGCAGGGTTTTACTGCAAAGTGCAGTGACTGTGTGTTTGTAAGCAAGCAAAGCTAATAATTCTGTACAACTCTTCTGCCAACTGTTTTGTTATAAGTATTGCTTGGACACAATGCATGAGGTATAACTGAATCGTTAGTTTTTCAAAATGCTCAATGCTTTTCAGAACATTTCTGAGTTGCTTAGGACATTTTGGTCGCACTTTATTTCAATTTCAATCTCTTTTTAGTGATTGTAGTCCTGTAGCTCAGTGATTAGAGCACTCGCCTCGCAAGCGAGAGACCTGGGTTTGATTCCCAGCAGGGCGAAACGTGGGCAAGTTTCCTTGCTCCACACACCTCTGTGAACCTAGCAGTAAGTAGGAACCTTGTTGTTAGTCGATTGGCAGATTGCTTTTCCGGAGTTAACAATTCCTTCAAAAAGAAAAAAAATTGGTCACTTCAATCCACGACTGTTTGTGGGACACTGCTGTGCGCAATTGGTTGCTGCGTTTTGCCCACAAAATATGCAATCAATTCAAATTACAGTATTCTGTGAAGCGCTTTGAGACATCTCGAAGATGTGATAAGGCGCTATATCAAATTATTAAAAGATTATTATTATTGGGAGGCACCAAGTGTAGCCTTGTGGCTGCTTTGCTTCAGGTCAACGTGATTATAAAATTAAAGATAAGTGAACCCAGGCCAATATCTTGCATCTCCTGATGGGCTTGTTTGGTTATAGAGCATGATTGGAAATGGCAACTTGTAATTATATAGCACCCTTCACGCAGGGTAGAGTTTAGAAATGTTTTACCTGCCCTCTTACCAAGGGAATACTTCTAATAGTAGGTAGTGTAAATGGGTGGGAAAAGGAACTGGATAACTCGGAGGTGGGATAATTTGAAAAGGAATTTTTAGTGAAGCTGAAAATTTATTCTAACCAACAATTGCATGCTTTGATTCATCTTTGCACTTATTTGAGGTAATACTTTAATCGATAAATTTCCTAATAGGGTGGTGAACAGTTAGATATGGAGGTGAAACGATACGAAGATTTTGAGTTTCAGCAACTTGAACGAGAAAGCAAGCTTGAAGAAGAAAAGGAAAATAATTCAAAACAACTTCTTGGTGAAATTGGTGAATATCAGCACAGCATAGAGACAAGAGAGGTGAGTGTCTCATAAATATAACTGATAACATTTCAGGCCATTTAATGACATATTTTAATTTTTTCTAGCATTCCTTGCAGTTAACCTGTAAAAAGGTAAAGCTGGAGTCCTGTAGCTCAGTGGTTAGAGCACTCACTTTGCAAGCGAGAGACCTGAGTTCAATTCCAGGCAGGTCAGGGGGAAACCTTGGGCAAGTTTCCTTACTCCACACGCCTAATAGTAATACCTCCAAAACCAAAAAAAACAATAATAAATTGGTCATTTTCAATCTACGACTGTTTGTGGGACATTGCTGTGCGCAATTGGCTGCCGCGTTCACCACAAATATACAGTCAACTCACTTTTCAGTATATTCTGTGAAGCGCTTTGGGACATCCTCCCAACGTGAAAAGTGCTATATCAAATGCAAGGATTATTATTATTATGCTTCTGGTGCTGTATTTTCTTGCTTCGTTATTATTGAGTGTTGCTTTCAGCTAACATATAACAGGTAAAGCAGTCATTGTTTGTTATCTCAATTTGATATTTAGCACCTTTTTTAAATTAAAAAAAAGCTGTTTTCTCTTATGTTGTTTAATTCTGAAACACCAGACTTACATACTTTAAAAATGGTTTTCTAAAGTGACTGCAAAATACATGGTCACTACCCTTCATAGTAAATCCTATGAAGCCCTTTGACGTACCTCCCGATATGGAAGGCGCAATGCCAAATGTAACAGATATTCATCATTATATCTCGGACCAGATGGTGCAGTCGCATACATCTATTATAATAATAATAATAATAATAATTCTTGCATTTGATATAACGCTGTCCACGTCTTCTGGACATCGCTTCACAGAATATGCTGTATAGTGAATTGACCGTATATTTGTGGGCGAAACGCAGCAGCCAATTGCGCACAGCAGTGTCCCACAAACAGTCGTGGATTGAAAATGATCAATTTTATTATTGTTTTGTTTTGGAGGGATTATTATTAGGCGTATGGAGTAAGGAAACTTGCCCAAGGTTTCGCTCTGCCTGGAATTGAACCCAGGTGTCTCGCTTGCAAAGTGAGTGCTCTAACCACTGAGCTACAGTACTTTTTACACCTGAGATCTTGGTTTGAATCCAACTTAGTCTACCATTATGGCTGTAACAAACAAATGCAATGCACAAGTTTTAGGGATGAGGAGAAACCACAAACCAGCAACAACAACTGACAAATTGCATTATAAAGCACCTTTCATGTCGAGGGGAAGTCCCAAGATAAAACATGAAGCTGAAAGACACATAATCTTATCGATGCCACTTGTGGGAGAAGGCACCTTACAATGCTTTTGCCCAAAGTTAGGAAGTGAAAAACTGGAGCATCACTTATCTCAGGGAATAGCTCGGGCACACCTTGGCTGTGGAGGAGAATTGCTGGCAGAGCTATGGGAACCAGTCTCCAGATCATCCTCGCAGATAGGGGAGAGAGAAATTGGTGTACAAAGCGGAAAAGTGAAGAAAGTGACAATATTTTATTTAAAAAAACGCATTTAAATTCAATTCTTGGAATCATTCTAAATACATTTTCTAGAAAATATCAACAAAGAGCCTTCCTTCTTTGGAGCTTTTAAAGTTAACACTTTCTAAAAGAGCAAAGAGCGCATAGCAGTAAATCTTGTAGCAGTGAAACCCAGACTGCTGTCAGGAATGGAGAGTCAAAATGAGAAATGGACACATAACTCTGGAAATCAATGTGGCAAGAACACAGAACAAAACCAGTTACTACTCCTTTGCAGCATTCAGTCTGCAAGCAAACTATAGCTACTGAACTCACAGTGACAGTGTATGAGCTGAAAAGGGGAACATTATCTTCTGACCGTTTACTTACAAGGGTTTAAACATTTGGGAAGCATTTTCAACTTGGAGTGTCTCATTGAAACATCAATGTGCTGATGTATTACTTGCTTTTCTAAACACAAATTGCACGAATACTGTACGAGTGTAAATGTGTACGAGTTGAAAATATCAGGGTTTAAATTCAAGAGAATAATTACATTCTAGGAAAAGTGCTTGTAATTCATGAATCATAAGTCCAAATATTTATTGTAGCTTCATGGAAATGTGCTACCAATAACAGCTGTCATTTTATGCATTTTGTTTAAACAGATACTTGAACGGAATGACATTAGTATACGATCATTTATACACTGAAAGGAAAATGATTTCAACATGATCAACTTTTGCCCTACTTTATTCCCTTTTGGGTTTTTTTACATATCAGTGATTTTATGGTTGCAGTGTAGCTTTGTTATGACTGGATTTCAGCATGTTTCAAATCATTTTGGATCATAGACTTGGCACAATTTTAGTATTCATTTGAATGACTCATTGTCCATAGTGTAGAACGAAAAATTTCACCCGCGGAGCTCTGTTTGGCATCTCATTTACTTGCTAATTGTAGACTGTTCATAAGCCAAATCACTAGTAGTTGCTAACATGGTTTTAATAAGTATGGTGTTTCTCTTCAACAGAAGAAACTCACCTTGTTCAAAAACCAGGTCAATCAGATCGTGCAGCAAGCTGAGCTGGAACGTGAACAGTTTTTGAAAGAGAAGAACAATTTACTAGTGATGTTACACAGGGTGAGTAGTTACAAAGAAAGGAGAATTATATGGAGCTAAACTTTGCTTGATTCTTTTCCCCCAAGGAAGAAAGAAACCAAACAGTTCTAAGCGCAATTGTGCTCACAATCTGATGATGGAGCTTTGGCATCAATGTTGATTTCACTGTGATCGCAGTACATGATGAAAAGACAAAGCGGATTATTTTCCATGTGTCTGCCACTCTGATCTTTAACACAGGAATTGTTCCCGTAGGCCAAACGATTTACACACTTGCATACTGGGAATAATGTGTTTCCTCCAAACAGCCCAAAAAAACTGCTACTTAATGACAAAACACAAAATACTCAGATGCTGGAAACCTGAAAACAAAAACAGAACTTGCTGGGAACACTCAGCAGGTCGGGCAGCATCTATGGAGACAGGAAAGTGATGGGTGAAAGAGGTGTTACCCATCGACATCCTCTCTATCTGTGACCAGGGCTCCCTCTGCCTCTTTGTCCTCCTGGACCTCTCCACCATGTTCGACACAGTCGATTACGCCATCCTCCTCCACTGCCTTTCCTCCGTCATCCACCTCAGTGGGATCGCACTCGCCTGGTTCGAGTCCTACCTCAGAAACCGCCAGCAGTACATCTGCATAAACAGCTTTTCTTCCCGCTCTCACCCGGTCACCTGCGGGGTACCCCAAGAATCCATCCTTGGCCCCCTCCTTTTTCTGATCTACATGCTCCCTCTTGGGGATGTCATCCGCAGAAATGGGATACACTTCCACCTCTCTTTGCGACCCCCAGTCCCCTGATGTTCTGTCAGCCTGCCTGTCAGACCTCAGGAGCAGAAGGAGCGCAAATTTCCTTCAGCTGAATGTCGACAAGACGGAAGTCATACTCTTTGGCTATCGTCAACGTCTAAAATCTCAACGTTCTCGCCTCCTCCACCTACCCGATCTCCCCCTAAAACTCTCCGAACCCGTACGCAACCTAGGCATCAGGTTCGACCCCCAATTATCCTTCCTCCCCCACATCCGGTCCCTCACCAGCTCCGCTTACTTCCACCTCCGATGCATCACCCGTCTCCGCCAATATCTCTCTCCAAAAGCCGCTGAAACTCTGGTCCATGCCTTTGTCATCTCTCGGCTGGACTATTCTAACGCCCTCCTCGCCGGTCTCCCATCCACTACCATCCATAAAATCCAGATTATTCAAAACTCTGCCGCACACATTCTCACCTGCACCAAACTCCGCTCCCCGATTACCCCAGTCCTTGCCAGACTGCACTGGCTGCTTGTCCCAGAGAGGATCGACTTCAAGATCCTCACCCTTGTCTTCAAATTCCTCCCTCCTCTGCACCCCCTACCTCTCTGACCTCCTCTCTCCTCAAAACAGTGTCTGATGTCTTCGTTCCTCCGGGTCTGGCCTCCTCCTTGTCCCCCGAGTCCTCCGCTCCACCCTCGGTGGCCGTGCCTTCAGCCACTATACCCCAAGACTCTGGAACTCCCTTCCTCGCTCCCTTCGCCTCGCTCTCTCTCTTCCTATTTTCAGATCTCTGCTGAAGACCTTTCTTTTCGACCGTTCCTTTGGTCACCTTCCCCCTCCCCCCTCCCTCTGGCTCGGCCCCGGGATCCATTACTGCGAAACTCTCTGAGACGCCGTCCGGCATGGAGGGCGCTATATAAATCCAAGTTGTTGTTGTTGTAATGATACAAAACAAATTATTAACACCTCTATTCCCCTGCTATGTTGCAATCCTCCCCTTTGTTTTGCATCATTAATACCTCTTTAACCCATCACCCCCTGTCCTCTATTCCATTTTCTCCTTCATCTTCCTTGCCCCTATCTCCCCCCTCTCTGTTAGCCCTAAAAAGCCTCTCCCACTCAACATGCCCCAGTTCTGACGAAAGGTCATGGACCCGAAACGTTCACTCACTTTTCTTTCTCCATAGATGCTGCCTGACCTGCAGAGTGTTCCTAGCGACTTCTGTTTTTGTTTTTTGCCATTTAATGACGTTTGTTGAAAAAAATCAACACAGAGATTCTCCTCTGTGATTCTCCTCCTGGCCCTGTACAAAATGAACCATCTAAATATACACTAATTAAAAAACATTGATCAAAAACTCTGTTTTTAAATAGCCTGTTTGACTCACATGGCAATGTGGAAGAAGTCTTGGCTGGAGTGTAAAAATAACCATCTCATGTTGACTTAGCCCAGGCACCTATCATGTGAATTATTTTGTATACCTGATTCAGTTTCAGATATGAAGACATATTACTGCTGTTTCAACCGTCCCAGCTTTCAGACATTAAAATTAAGCGATAGTACTCACAATGTCACTCATGAAGCTGAAAATTATAAACTTTCAGCTGTAATAGAACAGCAGTGAACTCAAAATAATAGCCTTGGCAAAAACATGTGAGGACTTTTGTGTCCTCAGATAAATAATATCCAGGCTCTGTGAGCCTAACATCCCCATTCAAGCTTGGTTCCACTGGATTCCCATCCCCCAATGGATCAAGTTTAAGATCTTCGTTCATGTTTAAATCCCTCCATGGTCTCGTCCCACTCAACCTCTGATACCTCCTTCACCCTTATCATCCTGGCTGCTCCCTTCGCTCGGCCAAAACTGGCCTACTCCACATCCCCCGCTCTTGCAGCCCCATTGTTGGCAGCGGGCTTTCAGCTGCTTGGCATTTGCTCTCTAGAACTCTATTCTCGGTCCCTCTGACTTGCACCCTCTCAATGACACTCTTCCAATCACCCATTCCAGCTGTTTCAGAAAGGAGAACGCCGAATGTTTGTGGAAGGAAGCACAAGTTTAATGTATTGGCACTTAAAGTTCAGGCTCTCTCTCCTTCCCTTCCCCACCCCCCATAGACTTGATGTCCCATTGAGCCTATATTTACATCATGCTGCTAGGATGCATTTTCTATGCATTTCTATGTATTTTCAATCCACTTCTCCCATGCTTTAAGGACGCGCTCCAAGTGAACAACAACAACAAAATTACATTTGTATGGCGTCTTTCACATCAGGAAGATGTCCTAAGCCACTGGATAATCAGTGTTTCGGACCCGAGCTGGGGGTCGGGATCGGGAAGGGCGGCGGGCAAGGGGGAAAAGGAGAGTGATCGAAAGCACGGTCGAAGAGGAGAGTTTTGAGGCGGGTCACAAGGAGGCAAGGGAGGGGCCGAGGGACTGCCGGATGGAGTTCCAGAGGGTGGGGACAGAGTGGCTGAAAGCCTGCATATCAAATGGTGGGGCGGGTGAGTTAGGGGATGTAAAGCAGGCCGGAACCCGCTGAGCGAAGGGAGCGGGCAGATTGGTAGGGGGTTAGGAGGTCGCAGAAGCAGAGGGGAACAAGGTCATGGAGTGCTTTGAAGGTGAGAATCAGGATCTTGAATTGTATCCTTTGTGTGATGGGAAGCCAGTGGAGTCGGGCGAGGATGGGGGTGATAGGGTCGCGGAGCCTGGTGTGGGAGAAGACATGAGCTGCAGAGTTGTGGATGATCTGCAGCCTATGGAGGGAGGAGTTGGGGAGGCCGACAAGCATGGAGTTTGCATAGTCAAGCCTGGATGTTATGAATGCGTGTGTGAGGGTTTTGGCGTCTTATGGTTTGAGAGAGTGGCGCAGCCAGGCGATGTTGCGGAGGTGGGGGAAGGCAGAGCGGGTCATCGCACGATGTGGGGTAGAAAGGATAGTTGAGGGTCAAACAAAATGCCGAGGTTCTGAAATGGCTTCAGTGAGTGGAGGGTGCATACTTGAGTGCTAATGCTGTCAGCACCTGAGGTGTGGAAGTGCTGACGGGATCCAATCAGGAGAGCTTCGGTCTTGTTAACATTCAACTGAAGAAAGTTAGCTCTCATCCAGGACTTGATGTCTGACAGACATTCTGTCAGCACAGCAGTGGTCCTGGAGTCGAGGGTGGAGGCAGAGAGATAGAGTTGGGTGTCATCCGCATACATGTGGAAGTTGACCCCATGTCTGCGGATGATGTCACCAAGAGGGAGCATATAGATATTGAAGTGGAGGGGACCAAGGACAGAGCCTTGAGGAATGCTGCACGAGACAGTGCGGGGGCTAGAGGAGAAGCCGTTTGTGGAGATGAAGTGGAGACGGTGTGAGAGGTACGATCTGAACCATTCAAAGAGAGAACAATTAGTTCTCACAGTGAGAATTATACTGCTGAATGCTCTGAACTCTTTATTCGTTAACATTGCCAGTGATCTAGACTGTGATTAGGATAGAATGCTTTATTAGCATGCTTGCGGTCAGTGGTTAAATTCCCTGCGTAGGCTGACCTGACCATTCCTGATACATTTTGCCAGTTCTCAGCTTCCCTTTCACTAAGTCATTATATTCGATGCAAGCACTTCTTTTCCTGGACTACCTAAACGACTTTGTTTTTCATGGGATTTTGCACGGAATAATAATAATAATAATCCTTGCATTTGATATAGCGCCTTATCATGTTGTTTAGATGTCACAAGCTTTCCCGCTGCCTCCCCCAGCTAGGACCAGCCTTGCAGAGTTACCATAAGATGCAGGAGTAGGCCATTTGGCCCCTTGAGCCTGCCCCGCCATTTGATAAGATCATGGCTGATCTTCTAACCTAATTCCATTTACCCGCCCTATCCCATATCCTTAATCCCTCTATTCTTTAGAAGTAGGAGTGATGGAGGCAGTACAATTGGTCTTGGCTAAGTTGTGGAACATAAATTAGTTAAAGATCCCCACTTGCTATCTATCAAGCGATAATTACTGTAAAGTGCAAACATGTCATGTGAAAACTGGTTTTGATCTCAACTGTAGCATACCTGACATGAAAAAATCTTTTAACACTCAATGTTTAAGTCGTGAATAATGAATACACACTTTGCTATGGTATTGAAGGGCCAGCAATCACCATTACATTCAGGAGAGGAGAGAAAATTGTAAAATATAAATAAACTGAAATAAAATGACTAGTTATTTTCAGTTTCCTTACCTGCATGCTCTTGTGAGGATATTGTAAATAGCATGAACAATTGCAGTATAAAATGATTCAGAATAGCTTACATGCAAATGCGGATAGCCATTTGGGAACTTCCAAAAGCAAGTATCATTGATTACTGAAACAAGTTTGAAAATTATGTCCATTTTAATAAACTAAGTGGTCTTCTATTGATTTGGAATAAGACCGGAATCAGTTTCAAATTCTTTCTTGGCCTGAGGCATAATTAAATCATTAAGAATATTTTGGAAGAATATTTGCTTAAAAAGATGATTCAGTATCCTGTTATGTCTACCCAGGAAAAAGAAAATCTTCTTTATCTGGAGAAGACGTATTGTGATACAACAGGAGGAAGAGGGCTTCCCATCAATTCAAATATACTTAAGGAGGTAAGTTATATCCTTTTATTGTTAAAGCTGCAATGTGGGCCCAAGTTAGGCCATAAAAATGTGTTGTATGATCAATATTGAGATTCATAAAACATTTGCACTGCTGTCCTGTATTAAGGACTCTCCTGATACTCCCAACATTAAGGATTCTGGAGGTCAAGGACCCACGGTGTGCTTCATCTAGCAAATGTTTGCTGAATAATAATCCTTACATTCGATATGGCGCATTATCACATTGTTAAAACACCTTGAGGTGCTTTGCAGAATTTACTGTAGGTTGTAGTGACTATGTACTTTGTAAGCAAACTTGGCAGCCAATTTGAACATAGCACTATTCCACAAATAGCCATGAAGTGAATGACCAAGTTTATTTGAAAAATGTTTTGGCCAGGACACAAGAAAAACTTCCTTCTCTTTTCAAATAGTACCATAGAATCTTTAACATTGACCTGAAAAGGCAGGCAGTTTAATGTCTCATGTGAAAGATGGCACCTTCAACAGTACAGTTTTCCACAGAATTGAACTGGATTGAAAGCTTAAGCGTGAAACATGGAACTTGAACCCATAAATGAGGTCCCTTTGCCTGTTCAGGTGGATGATAAAGAGCCTATGAAATTATTCCAAAAGAGTAGATTTTTACCAATGACCTGGTCAATGATCCTCCAGATAAATTGGACATTTACTTCAGAGCTATTTTGTGGAACCTTGCCGTGAGCAAATTGTCTTGTTTGACAACACTCACCTGTGAAGCTCTTTGAGATGTTTTGACATTAGACACTATGTTAAATACAAAAAAAATACACATCATATCCGGGGTTTCAGCACCATTGATCCAGAAGGTGAACCAACTTTCATCCTTAGTACAGTATTATTTATTTACCAACATAAAAACATTTGCTTCCCAGCAAGTTGACGGAGGATGTTATTTCTAAGATGTTTTGAAGATATAACTATTGGTATAAAAGAGAGGGAATGTGATTCATAACATCAGATGTTGGGGATAATGTGTGGGGGGAGGAGGTAGAACAATGTCGACAAAAATAGCAAAGCAGACGAGGTGTTTTGGGGTTTATCAAAATCTGTAAAACTGCTTTCTCTGGGAAATGGTATTTTCCAGCAGCGTTTTCTGAGCCCTACTTGGCAGTGAACATGACCTATAAATGTCAACATCTGAAGTCAATTCCCCATCTTCTGCGGTTGGTGTTCAGCCCTTTGATCTACCTCAGGACTCGCTGTATTGTTGGGAAACTTTGAACTGGCTGCAGATCAAAGAGCAGCCCTGGTTTAATTTGTTAGTTATAAACAGGAGTTTTCCTCAATCTGCTCTAACCAGTATTTTGCAGTATTGAATGGGCTGGAGGCAGATCTCCCCTTCTCTTTCTCCCCCTGTGTTTCCCCCTCCCTCATCTCCTTTCCCCTCCCTTGTCTCCTTTCCCCTCCCTCATCTCCCTTCCCCTCCCTCGTCTCCCTTCCCACCCCTCGGCTTTACCATTCTCAGTGACTGATGATGGTAGGTAGGCTTTGACGGCCAGTTAGTGGGATACTGGCTTTTTTGTCAACAAAAACTGAAAAGTTATGAAGTAGCAGAGTGCAATCAAAAACCTGGAATCTGATACCATGCACTCTGGCCCTTGTACTTCACCATTGAGTGTGCCATTGGGATGGGGACAGCCCGTCTTGAGAGCACCATTGGCATGGGGACCGTCCTACCCCAAATCCATTCAATGTAATAACTATCCATTAACAGCAAATCTGATTCAATTGTCTTTAAATAAACAACTTTAAATTATCTTTACATCAACTTGTTTGTACTTTTTTTTAAAAAAATAAGGTACCTTACCAAGTTCAGACTTCCAATCGGTCATGGTCTGAAGTATTTTTTAAAAAAAGAACATAATCTGCTATCGGCCTTTACTTCAGAAGCTTCTGTTTAATATAAAATATTTTATCCAGTGACTGAGTAACATAGGCTGGTATTGAAGCATGATGCTTCATTACAAAGCTTCACCCTCTCAACATCTCCAGTGCTAGCTGATATCAGGACCACATGTCTGGACCATTGGCAGATGTGTAGCTATTATATTCGTGAAGATGATTCTAGTTTAGCTTTTAAGTTTACAAAAACAACCTCTCTTCAAAATTACCAGGAGTAGATGAATGTTTATTAATAAACATCATTATAAATGTGGGCTGAACAGACCTGGTTTAATGAATGATGTGCAAACTAGTTTCCACAATCTATCTGAGTGCAACATTATATGTAATCTCCTTACTATGTTAAAGTAAATGCCTCTGATCAAAATAAATTTTCTGGTCATTTAAATACTAATGATTACTAATATGGAGTCCTGTAGCGCAGTGGTTAGAGCAGTTGCCTCACATTCAAGAGACCTGGGTTTAATTCCTGGCAGCTCAAAATGTTGGGCAAGTTTCCTTCACCACACGCCTCTGTTTACCTAGCAGACAGTAGGAACCTAGTTGTTAGTAATTGGTGGATCTCTTTTCCGGGGATAATAATCCTTAAAAAAAACAATAATAATTTGGTCACTCAATCCACGACTGGTAAATGCTGCGCGCAATTGGTTGCTGGGTTTGGCCCACAAAATATACAATTTACTTTACAGTATATTCTGTGAAGCACTTTGAGACGTCTAGAAGATGTGAAAATGCTATATCAAATGCAAGGATTATTATTATTAACCTGCATTTTGTGGGTTTCTAATCTCCTACCTAATGCATAGTTTCAATAGTAAATTATGATGCAGTTTATGTTTTATTTCTGAATTAATGTTAACTCACACAGAACAAATTGAAATTCCTTTTCAGATCTGTTTATAATTTTACAAGCCGTTTCAATCCCTTGCAGCAGGTGGAAATTGCAGTGTTACTTCCATAAAGGGTTCAGTTTTAATGCTGGGCCAACTAAGATGATCTCAAGCAGAAAGTTGCTAATTTGGATTTACATCTCATCTACCAGTCAAAACATCCATCATTCATCTGTACTCAGACCAGAGTGATCGTGTTCAGTTCTGTACAGTGCCACCTTCTATTCCAATCAGCTAAACCGTTCACATCTATCTAGTTTAATAAATGATGTGCATTCATTAATTCCAGGAAAGCACTTGCCCCGAATCAGTCTTGATTATACAGTGAAACTACAGGAGCAATGAAGAGTTAAATGTATTGACACATGATACTGTAGTATGCTGCCTAAAGGAATATCCTTACTAGAAAGGTTTTTCATCAAACTTGTGAATAAATTTCTGCAATTTTTCAAAGAAAATATCAGCAGGCATTTCAGACCATCCTCAACGTAACATCCTCATAAATTGTTATAATTGTCCCACTTTCATATTCTTCAATCATAAATTCAAACCTTGGCCGGCCCCAATCTTGTCAAGATCTATTTGAAAATGATGAACTATCAATAATGAGTTATGTTTGGTCTTTGTCTGGGTGATCTTTCTGATGCATCAGTCTAGATGAATTCTAGAGCCTCTGAGATTACCTGTAAATCTATTTCTAAAATAGATTATCTGCATAGTTTTTGGAATAGCCTTCAGATAAAAAACAATGGGAAGATGTCTAATACTTCTGTTATAATATGAGAGATAGCTATTAGGTTTAAGATTCTCAACTTGTGAAATCATTAGTCTGAATCTATTGTGAAGAGGTTGAATTTTGGGTGGAAGACTTATTCGCTGGATGTGGATAATAATATTATTTGAAGAATCTCTTCCCGGGATTGCACGTAATCTGTTTTTACAGATTAAAATATGAGTGCATTTGCCATTATTTTTCTTGATGATGAATTATTTTCCATTGTGTGATTGAATTTACCCATATTATGTCATCCTGTTACCTGTACCATTATCAAACATCAAAAGCATGTAAGAAGTTGCTGAAGTTGCTCCATTGTTCTGATGTTGTGTCAGCCACATCTCCATTAATCACAACCCTCTACTTTGTGTGCTTTTCTCTTTTCACTTCATACCACTTAATTCCTCTTTCCAGGATTATGTCACTGTTAGCCAAATTAATGAGTTCTATAGTAGTTCAAAGAATAGTTGCCCCACTGATTCTGCTACTATATCCCCTGAACCTGTTGGTGAATCTACAATACCTGACCAGATGATCAAGACACATGATGATGAGGTTGGTTTATGTGAATGGTTTGATTCAGCTATACCTTCGCTTTTGCCAAGTTACATGACATGTCACAGAGTGAGGAAACACAATGGGGAATAGTGAAATCGTGGCAACAGTGAAATAATGGGTTTGTTCCAAAGAATACGGCTTGATGACATCGGATTTATGTTTTTTTTGTTCCTCATAAATTGAATGAATTAGGCAAGCAATGTTCAACATAATGGATTTATTTATGCGCCAATAGATTTTCTTTAGTGCACTTTTGTCACACGCACATAGTTGCACAATCGTGCTCTTCCATAAGCACAAAGCCTTATCCCCTGCATGCTCACTCGCACTTTCTCTCTTGCAGACTCGAGCTTTTATTTGCACGTGCTCTCAAATCTTACTTGTGCATACAATCTTTCACAAACACGTGCGTACTCTGCCCAATCTTCTGCATGTGTGTTCAAGATGCTGTTGACTGGTGTTTAGGACAAATACAGATGTCTCATAACACAGAAAGTCCACCAGAGTACAGCAATAGTGAAGAGTTTGCACGTTATCTTAAAAGGTAAATTCCTATAAATTGTGTGTTTTTGGTCTTCCAGATAATACAGTAAACTGGTAAACCTCCTCGTCTGATTTTTAGGGTATAAATATATGAACTAGGTCTGGGATTTTTTTTATAAAAGCATGTTGATTTGCATGTGTTATGAGTTTTCGAAGTGGAAATATTTTTTGAGCATGAGTGTGTTTTTACCCAAATCTTCTTGCCCGCTTTTATGCAGATGCTTTTCTCAATCGTTTTTGTTCAATTATAATTTATAGACAGCTTCCCAGTTGTCACAGAATAAAGAAGGACTGACTTGAGAGAGAGCCAGACAAAACATTGTGAAATTGTCCCCTATTTTCTTGGTTTTCAGTCTTTCATGATTTCATTGATATTTAGCATTCTAGGTCATCACCTCCCTGCCTTGACACTGGGGCCTCCTCTCCTCCCTCTTCCCGTCCTGTGCCTAAACCACCAACTGTACATTGGCCTGAAGTCATGGCAACTTATGTAGATGCTGCTCCTCTGCCGGAAACCCCTCCTCCTGCTCCTCTTCCTCCTCCTCTTCCTCCTCCTCCTCCTCCTCCTCCTCTTCCAGCTAAAAAACATAGCAGACGACATCAGGTAATGTGTTAGCATGCTTAGTCCCACCTATATTAAGCATCTAGAGTGTATAAGTATAGAAAATAGTATTATGGAGAAGAACTTCATTCTTGTTATTTTTTCTCGATCAGCAGCCGAGAAAACAGCATTTGTTCGATATTGCATTGAAATACCAATATCTTTATCTGTCAGACACTCTTCAGGCCTGTACCTGTATCTGCTCTACACTCCTCAATCTCATTGCTAACCAAGAATATTAATTTAGTACACAACTCGCTAAGTCATTTTAACTTCTGGGAACACATATTAAACTGCTTGGAATTAGTCAAAAAAAAAGTCAATCAGAGTTTAGCAGTTTTACCATTTCTGTTCCCAATTCAAACTTTTTGGGAAATTTTTGGGGAATTTTTTTTTAATCTGAATTCTAGGAATCCTAGTTTATATGGGAATAGCATAAGAACACCAGCCAGCCATAATTATGTTTTTCTTTACAATGAACAGAAGTTCAGGTGATGAATGAGATATTTATCCATATATAGAGTAGCAGAAATCCTATTGTTTGAACTCACTATTTTAGATAGAGTCAGATTCACCAATTGAAATTAAAAGTGAACACATGGACAACAGTTTCAAAACTGATTAAAAATCTTCAGTAAGATATTATTTAAAGTGGAGCCCTTTACCTGTTGATACTACACAAGCAACTTTTGTGCAAATTCCAAAACCTGGTTATTTACAATCTGTCAACACACTGCTTTATTACATTGCTGGTGTGCAAGTGGTGACATAACCTTTTGATGTTGACAAATGCAGGATTCCAGCATCACATAACACATTTCTAAAACAATCAGCTGGGATACAGAAATCATCTTGTCTTATATTTATATTGCAGTACATTGTTTTATGGTGAATATCTTTATTTTAATTTCAAGTTCAAATGTGTCCAATGCTTTCGAAAAATCCTCACCCTGTTCTCAGTTTCTCTTCTGTGCACAAATTGGCTGCTGTGTTTGTCTATAAATATAGTCATTACACTTTACATTACATCGGTAATTGTTGTGAAGCTATTTGGGATGTTTCAAAGTCATTAAATCCTATGCCAACTGTAAGCATTATTATGAATATTATTATTCCTTGTGAATATTTTCAAATATATTGTTATTTCTATTTTTATTGCTTTGATGATGGAGAAGAGGACTCCATTATGACTATTATTACTTCTCTTTAATCAGAATGGGGTCAATGCAGTTCTATACCAAACCATTTTATGTAATTTTAATTTTGGAAAGAGTTCACAGTTTCAAGCTGTTGTGTTTCGTTTTTACAATACCAACACCAGTGTTCACTTTATAAGTAGGATTCCTTGTTCAAGGTATTAATTTAGTATTTTTGTTTGTCTAAAGAACTTCCGAATCCAGGAAGAAAGAAAGAAACATCAAAAGGAGGGACTGTACCTGAGTGACACTATTCCCAGGAAGAAAAACAGCTTGGCCATTTCATCCCAGTTTAACAGTGCAACACTTGGTCGCAATGTTACTTCCAAGGTCAGTCTTAAGGATGGATAGATTATTGTCAAACAAACCATTCTGGCAATCTGTTGCCTAAGATACCTTGTGATCTTGTCAATTGAATTTATTGACAACTAAACAAAAATAATTTGGGCTTTTGTAGTGCCTTTCGTGTAGGAAAACGTTTCAAAGAGCTTTACAAAGACCAAGTAAGTGCCTGAATTGGGAAGGAGATACGGGAAAGGTGCCCGAAGGCCCAGTCAAAGATCATTGCTTTTTAGTGGGTATTGGAAGCAAGGAGGGAGCGGGTGCGGTGGGATTTTGCAAGACAGTTTCAGAGAGAGTTGTCACCTGCCGACAGTGGGGCAGTGTGGGCGGAGGCATGAAGCAGGCCAAAGTGGTGGAGTGCAGGGTGGTGGGTGGGGGAGTGAAATCGCAGAGGTAGGATGAGGCAAGGCAGTGGAGGCATTCGAAGGTTACTACACAGGTCACGAAACTGTTTGATGCTGTAATGGACAGATGATAGGGTGGGTATTCTGGAAGGATGAGATCAGATAGTGATGTGACAAAATGATTGATTTTACATGAGATGTCATCGAGATGTCTTGTTTTCATACAGGCTCATTTACCATTGGTGCAGAGCAACAGCTGTGGTAGCATGCTTGTTCACAACATGACTGCTGTTGGGAAAGACTCAGAAAACAGGAGGCATCAGGGACAAAAAGGTACGTACCACAAATGATGATCTTGCTGCACACATTATAGAAAAAAAAAGAGAAGCAAAAAGAGAAGGTTTTAGTCTTTAGATTCCTTTAGGAAGGTCATATCTTTTATGGTACATTTCTTGTTACCACGGAACAACAAAAAAAACTGTTGCAATACATGTGTGGCTTAAAAGGGAGCAGGTCAGATTTTCGGTGCCCTTGCGCAATGATATTACCAGTCATGTGATCTTTAATGTCAATGTCACCTCGCTATAAAGTGCTTTAAAGTTTTATGGATTTTATATGTTACAATATTTTTCAAATGCACCTCTTATATTTGAAAACTAGTAATGCATTTTCTGATTTAAAAAGGTTATTATTACATGAGCCACTGGGATTAAGTTTGTGATGTCTTAAGCCGGGCATTCTGTTAATTTTTGCCAGTATAAACAGCCGCTAAGTTTCTTGATTCATAAGGAATCTGGCAGGCTTTCTGCTGCTTGTCCAGCTAGGACCACCCGACTTGCCAGGGTTTTGGCTTGCAGGGTTAACAGGAGCCAAGTGAGAAGAATCTCTGTCCCCAGTGACTGGCTGCCGCTCCAAGCCCTGACAACGAGCCAAGCTGGCTGGTCTTCCATCCATCCCGCACCAGAGGACCTGCACCTGCCTCAGGAACTGGATTTTCAAGACTGCCAAAGAGGGCTGGCAGGATTCTGACATTCCACTGCCTAGCACATCACTTTGGAGCCAGTTCAGCTCCAAGGAGACCTCGCTTACCTTCCCCGCGCCCCCTCCCCCCACTAACAAGAATAATCTCTTTCACACCTGAATCGCCACGACCTTTGTTATTCTTGAGGCAGAGGTAAGCGTAATTATAAACTGAAGCACCTAGAATGGCTTTCCAGGGTTATTCCATTGGGGGAGTAAAATGCACACTCATCCAGCCATAAAATAATATATCGGAGATTGAGCAATCCTCCAGGCTGTTCAGATATTTTTTTGTCTGGTGCATGTATGGATTATGACCCTCCTTGCTAGATCAATCATGGAAACTAAATATTGGATGAACATATTTCATAAAAGTTTTCATTCTCCCACCCCTTACCTGGTGTAGCCCAATTTCACTGGTGTCTTTTGGACTTGTGCTAAACAGAAGCACGGAACATCAAGTTTCTGATGCTAATTAGCTGCCATTCTGCATATAAAAAAAAGACCGATGTAATGTCACATTAATGTCACTTTCTGCTCATTGTGCTTGCACTACTGACCACTTCACACAGGAAGTGCCATTTGCAGGAAGCTTGTGTGCAGGAAATGATGGCAGCGGTGACCCAATGATCCGCTTCACTTATTTGAGCTAATGGACCCAGAGAACAGTGTTATGATGAGGTTGCTCTCGAACTTAAGCTACTCTAGTGCCTACAATTCACAGTAACACTCCCCTCTGCTTCAGAAATATCAGAGATCTTGGCAATCCAGTCTGAAATGAAAATGCCACTTCGAGAAGCAGTACACTACCACCTAGCAGTCATTTACACTGGTGTAAATCACCACAATACCAGGCTTAAAACATTGCCAACATTTCCCCACTACCTTATCTAACCATATATGTAGTTATACTGTTTGACTAATTGTGCATCTTTTCTCTATCCAACTGCAGGAAAATCCAAAAAAGGTATGTTGGACAGTTCTGCTTTTGGTTTTCTTTGTGTCTGCTAACACAGTAACTGGAAACGTAAACAATTAATATTGGTCAGTTTGAAAAAAAATGTTCCATTTCTTCAAAGGGGTTATATCATCTTGCAACGTTTTATGAACAGAATTTGTAAACATCTTTGACATAATGTTATGCATACCTCATCTTGCTTTCACAAATATTCTTACTCAGACTAGCCTAACCATTTAGCAGTATTCATGAATGTCCCGTGAATGTTTATTAACTCAAGCTCTTCATTTTGAAAATTCTGCTGTTCCAACACTTCAAGGCTAGTTTGAAAAAAACATTCTGATAAATTGGTAGTTTGGCAACATCTTGGCTATTTCCTTGGGGAGGACAAGTTTGCAGGGCTGTGGGGAAAGAGCGGGGGAGTGGGATTGATTTGGATAGCTCTTTTAAAGGAGCTGGCACAGACACGATGGGCCGAATGACCTCCTTCTGTGCTATATAATTCTATGATTCCTGAGCTCCAACTGTTTCCCCAGTAGTTTATCCCCTTTGCTCCATATCAAGATGACATGCCCCTTTTATTAGTGCGCACTTGTAATGGTTTTGGTGCAATGTTCAAAAATTTCTTTGAAAATTCCACATGGGCTTGATGGGCAGATAATTTCCATCATAATCACTAAATACATTTGAATTTTTTTAAATGTCCAAAAACCCAGGCTTTTCAATTGGCCTTTGAGCTGAATAAACTATACTGACCAAAAGATCCTGAAATGGCTGATCTCAGCCAGAGGAACAGTAGGAATGCAACAGCCAGTCTTAGCTGTTGTGTGCATGGAAGGTGCAAAATTCATCCCAGGCTTCCAGTGAACACTGCTAGAACACGTGTGAACATCGGGCTAGAAGAGAACTAACTGAGATGCTGAGTTGCCTGCTCACACTCGATATCTAGGCTCACACACACAAACAGTAACCACTTGGGTGAGACAGTGTAAAAAGCTATGATTTCAGCAAAAGTCTTCACCTTCAACAGAGGAAGGAGAAAAGCGGTAAAACATAATATTTTGGAGAACCTATTCACTTATTTTTTAAGAACATATCATGAATGTATTTGTTACATTCAGGCTTCAATATGCCAACTCCCTGTTTGTCGGCTTTCCCAACTCTTCCTTCTACAAACTGAAGATCATTCAGAACTCTGCAGCTTATGTTCTCTCCTGCACCAGGCTCCATGACCCCATCACCCCCCCACCCATAAACAACAACTTGGATTTATATAGAGTTCTCCACGCCAGATGGCGTCTCAGAGCGCTTCACAGTAACGGATCCCGGGGCCGAGCCAGGGGAGGGAGAGGAAGATGACCAAAGGCACGGTCGAAGAGAAAGGTCTTCAGCAGGGACCTGAAAATAGGAAGAGAGGGAGTGAGTCGAAGGGAGTGAGGAAGGGAATTCCAGAGCATCGGGGCATAGTGGTTGAAGGCACGGACGCCGAGGGTGGAGCAGAGGACTCGGGGGACGAGGAGGAGGCCAGACCCGGAGAAACGAAGGCAACGGGTACTGTTTTGAGGAGAGAGGAGGTCAGAGAGGTAGAGGCTGCAGAGGAGTGAGGGATTTGAATACAAGGGTGAGGATCTTGAAGTCGATCCTCTCTGGGATAGGCAGCCAATGCAGTCTGGCAAGGACTGGGGTGATCAGGGAGCGGAGTTTGGTGCTGGTGAGAATGCGGGCGGCAGAGTTTTGAATGATCTGGATTTTATGGATGGTAGTGGATGGGAGACCGGCGAGGAGGATGTTAGAATAGTCCAGCCGAGAGGTGACAAAGGCATGGACCCAGGGTTTCAGCGGCTTTCGGAGAGAGGTACTGGCGGAGACGGGCAATGCGTCGGAGGTGGAAGAAAGCAGAGCTGGTGAGGGACCGGATGTGGGGGAGAAAGGATAATTAGGAGTCAAACCTGATGCCTAGGTTGCGTACGGGTTCGGAGAGTTTTAGGGGGAGGTCGGGTAGGTGGAGGAGATGAGAACCGTGAGATTTTAGACGTTGACGAGAGCCAAAGAGTATGGCTTCCATCTTGTCAACGTTCTGCTGAAGGAAATTTGAACTCATCCAGCTCCTGAGGTCTGACAGGCAGACTGACAGAACATCAGGGGACTGGGGGTCGCAAAGAGAGGTGGAAAAATAGAGTTGGGTGTCGTCCGCATACATGTGGAAATGTACCCCATGTCTGCAGATGACATCCCCAAGAGGGGCATGTAGATCAAAAAGAGGAAGGGACCAAGGATGGATCCTTGGGGACCGAGTGACCGAGTGAGAGCGGGAAGAGAAGCCGTTTATGCAGATGTATTGCTGGTGGTTTGTGAGGTAGGACTCGAACCAGGCGAGTGCGGTCCCACTGAAGTGGATGGCGGAGGAAAGGCGGTGGAGGAGGATGGCGTGATCGACTGTGTCGTATATGGCAGAGAGGTCCAGGAGGACAAGGAGGCAGAGGGAGCCCTGGTCACAGATAGAGAGGATGTCGTTTGTGAGTTTCACAAGCGCAGTCTCTGTGCTGTGGGCAGGCGGAAACCGGATTGGAGAGGTCGAAGAGGGAGTTGGTGGAGAGGTGTGCGCAAAGTTGATTGGCAACAACACGTTCTAGGACTTTTGCGAGGAAGGGCAGGTTAGAAATGGGGCGGTAGTGGCTATGGTTTGAGGGATCTAGGGAAGGTTTCTTGAGGAGAGGAGTGATGACAGCAGTTTTGAGGGGCGCAGGGACTGATCCGGAGGAGAGGGACTATTTGATGACATCAGCCAGTAGTGGGCAGAGGAGAGGGAGCTGTGTGACCAGCAAGTTGGTGAGGAGGGGGTCGAGGCAGCAAGTGGTGGGTTTCATGGAGGTGATGTTGGGTGAGAAGGAGGAGGGAGAGATGGGGAGGAAGGAATGTAGGATGGGGGTGGTGGAAGGAGCAGATGATGGGGAGGGTGAGGGTGACAGAGAGGGCATGGTGGTGGGTGACAAGAGGCAGGTGGATGAGGCTGCCAAGAGGATGTTGTGAACTTTAGATGAAAAGAAGTCCATAACCTCCTTGCACTTGGCATTTGATTTGAAGATTGAGGAGGCCTGAGGGGGGGTGCACGGAGGAGGTAGTGGGTGTTGGGGAAAAAAGGATTTTAGGGTTGTGTTTAGCCTCCAAGATGATGTTGGAATAGAAAGCCGTTTTTGCACGTGTCAAAAAATGGCGGTAGCTGTGGAGATGCTCGAGCCACAGTTGGTGGTGGATTGTCAGGCCAGTTTTCCGCCATCTGCGCTTGAGAGGCCAGGTTTCGTTTTTTAGGCGGCGGTGATGGTTGTTGTACCAGGGGAATCGGGTGGGTTTGGAGATGGTCCTGGATTTCAGGGGGACGAGGGAGTTGAAGCTGGAGGAGAGCAATCATGGAGCAGCTGGATGGCTGCTTCAGGGTCTCTGCGGATGGAAGGCCAGAGGGACAGGATGTTTGATGATGTGAGGGTCTCAGGGGTAGCCCTTTCCAAGGGCGGTAGAGGATGGTTGAGGGCTTGGTGGAGGAGAGAGGGATGTGAGAGGAGAAGTAGATGAAGAAGTGGTCCCAGATGGCTTTGTCCACTATGCTGAGGTCGGAAATGTCAAGGCCGATATCAAGGGTGATAACACGAGGTCAAGGGCATGACCACGGTTGTGGGTAGGTGAATATATATGAAGGGTGAGGTTTAGGGAAGAGAGGAGGGCAGTGAAGTTGGCAGAAGTAGTGCAAGGGGAGTTTAGGTGGAGGTTAAAATTGCCTATTATGAGCAGGCGCTCGGAGCAGAGGGACAGGGAGGAGAGGAGAGTAGAGATGTTTGTGTGGAAGAAGCCGGGGGGCTTAGTGGGGCAGTAGATGAGGAGGATTTTCAATGGGAGAGAGGGGTGGAAGAGGGTGAGGTGCTCGAAGAGGGGAAGCAGCCAAAGGAGTTAGACCAAGGGGGGCTTTGGAAATGAAGGCCGCCATGCTGGTTTGGACGGGGGGGTGCAGTGGAGAGTTGGGGAGGGAACATATGAGGGAGGGGGTAGTTGTGTTTGCCTTAAGGAGGCGATTTGAGCAGAGGGAATGAATGATTGGACACTTGGGGTTGCTGCTCTGGGACAGCCAGTGCCGGGAGCTATGATGGGCCCGGTGGAGGATGCCCAGACTGGAGCAGAAGGAAGTGGTGATGGGGTCGAGGAGAGAGAGAAGGCGGGGAGGGCGGTGGGAGAGAAGGACAGAAGGGGGAGTAGCAGATAAAGGGGGGTGGGAGGGGGAGGCTCGGGTCAGGGCGGCAGCCAAAACGCGTACGCAGAGAGCGGGTGCGAGCGATCAGTGGGACGGCATCAGCCCTCAGGCTCAGCCTCGCAGGTCCTGGCCGGCATGGCAGTGCCAGGGGCTGCCAGGCCGTTGTTGTTGTTGTTATTGTCCCTGATTCGCGCCCCCTCCCCTCACTTACCTCCCCCCCCACCCCACACCCCCCACCCGCGCTCTCCTGACTCCGCTCCCGTCTGAGTGGCTCCTCATATTGTATGATAAATATGACTTGAATAATTACTATCCTGTCAAGATTAGACACAGCTGTACCAGCAATACAGAAGCAGTACAGAAGGTTACTGAGTTAATGCTACTCTTTACATATAGGCAGAACAAGCAGCTTTTTGGGATGTCTTGTCTGACGTTGAGACAGTCCTAGCCCTTATCTGGAACAATCTCCCTCAATCCGTCTGCCTTGCCCCCTCCCTCCCCACTTTCAAATCCTACCTAAATAGGGATGGTGCTTACGTCACCTCCCTCTCCGCCTGGCTCAGTGTCAGCCTCTGCCAGTTACTTTCATTAAATTAGGAAGCTTATGTCTAGCATTGTGTATGTATTGTGCCCAGATCTTTGCATTTTACAGTGTTTCACCTTTACGTCACTGCTTCTGCACCCACATAGTTTGCTCATGGGTTGATAACTTAAGCCGCTCAAAAATGAGCCCAGTGTCTATTAAGTCTTTCAGAAATTGAAATGCTTAAAGTGCTCAGAGTCCCCAATATGTCGCATTATACATTTGTATAAAAATAGTGTCTCCTCGATATCATATGTTAACCATTTATCAGAATATGTAAGTGACTCATTGTCACCTTTTTTTTCCTTTGCAAGAGCAGCATTTTGGAAGTCATAGGTATGTGTCTTTGTTTTCAGAAACAGTGAAACGTAATCTGTTCTGATCCTCACTTGTTCTCCATATTTGCTGTTTATAAAGATGACATTTTCCAGTAACTCTTAAAAAAATATTTCTGAGATCTTGTATCAAATGTATGTTGTTTCAATACCATAATAATTTTTTTGAAGCCAAAAATAAGTTACTGAAGGCCATCGGGTTAAAGGAATCCCTCATTTGCCAAGCAGTGAAAATCAGTTCTAATGTGAAATATCTGTTTATTACAGTGCACCACAAACCACTGTAATATGTGCCTTGAGTGCTCAGCTATTTGAAGGGTGCCTGGTTGTTTGTCCCAATTGCCTTTTTGTGCTTAGTTCCTGCTGGTTGTTCTTTCTATGGCTGGAGTGAGAAAGCTGGTGGCACACTTATGCCCATGTATAGTATTGTGATGGTGACAAGCATGGCCTCCTTCTGTGCTATATGATGCTATGAATAATGAGGGGTGAAGGTAGAATGGAAATATCCTGAAAGTCAATGAGCAAGAAACATGCTCAACAATAGTAGAAAATAAATAATATCCAGAGATAATTAAGAAATTACACAAAAGAAGACTATGATACGATCACAAGGTTATAGTTGCTGCAGTTTGGCAGTCTTTGTGTTTGCTACAATTTTACGTTTTCTTTCCAAGGGCAAATTATTGGTTGTAAAAATTACAAACTAGATCAATGTAGGTGGTGTATGGAAATAGATAGAAAATTGAGACTGAAATTGCATACTCTGGGAATCAAACACAGACCAAATCCTTTCAATGTAGTTTTAATATTCCTATGTGAAATTACTTTGGGAAATCTCCATGCAGTCTGATGGCTCAATCCACGGCACAAAACAGTTCAAATTCAGTATGAAATTTACAATGAATCCCCTCTGACCCTATTGACAATTAATTAAATTAATGTCATGGTAAGTTTGCGCAACACATGTCCAACTAGAATAACTCTAGCTCCTCTAAGAACTAAAGGCAAATCAAACTGTCTTTGCTTACTTTTCTTAACTGAATACAGTGTGTCGCTACACCTGTGTACCAGCATTAAGTGTAGAGACGGATAGAATCCTGGCCTATGAGTTAAATTACTTCAAAGTACCATCAGAACAGCATGAGTTTCAAGGAATTTTTAAAACTTTGCTAAATGAAGTCGCATGAGAAATAAGTCCTAACTGGAGCATAATTTATCCTCAAAAGAGACAAGTTAAACTTTTTTTCTGTATACTGAGTGGTGGCATTTAGTTATAGTCAGATATAGTGAGCTAAAGAAATATTGTTTGACCAAAGATGGATAAGAAACTCTCCAAAGAATCTGGAACTTTTGGCGGATGCAGTGCTGGCTGAATTTTAAGATAACAGTTAAGAAGTGTTTTTTTAACCAAGTATCCAAATGGATGCCAACTGCAAAACTAAAATTTATTTAGATCCATTTTGGCATTTCAAATAGGAATGTGTCTGTCATAGAACAGTGAGGTGGGAGGTAGGGGCTGTGAAACACAAATCCAAATTCATTCATTGTCTGATTATTGAATTGACCCCCGTGTGGTAGAAACTTAACACATTTATTTGCAAGTGTAATAATCAACCTGTTGCAAACCTTCTAAAAATAATTTTCTTGCATAGAGAGTCAACTTTGAACGTTGGATTATTTTTCTGCCAAGAGAAGGTAGAAGATGTACTATAGTGGTTACACGGATCTTTGATTAAACGTTGGCACAAATAAAATTGATATTATGTTTAATTTACTAAATTTTGTACAAAATGTGGTTAAAACACAAAGTTTCAACAATGGGGTTGAAGAAGAGCTTGACAGAAAATAGTGCCTCATGTAAGAAAATGTGCCTTTGATGAGAAGTGAGATCACAAGAGTAGTTTAAATGAAGAAGGCCTTTCAGTCCATATGATCTCATGCTTTCACAATACCCAAATTCCAGGGAATGCCTTGTGCATTCACACTGGGCTCGGATCAAGTAAGAAGTAAGAACTTGGGTCCAAGGTGATCTTGGGTCAGAGCTGATCTCTCTGCTCGATTTGACCAGCCGGAGGAGATTGATTTTGCAGTCCAAGTTATGAAGTACCATTTGTACTGGCTTATCCCTAATGAGTGTTTTTCAATCCCATTGTGTTTATTGCAAGAATACATTGCCTTCAAAGTAAAGCATTGGTGCCCCCTAGTTCTGAACAAACATGTTGCAAGCAGAGTTTTTGCAAGGTGGGAGGAATGAGGTTCAGAATGGAAGCGGATGTTACCTGAGCACATTGTTTACATGTACTCATCAAATTTACCTTTTTAACAGGTCATTGGAGGAAGGAAACAAAGAAAGCAATACAAAATGTGTTGTTGGGACATTAAATACATAATTACATTGCATGCTTGCAAAATGTGGGGAAAAATATGTTTGACAGTTTGGGAGTGTGAATGGAAAAAGAAAACACAAGCTTTAAATGGGTTTACCTCTTTGAAGATTACATTTTGTCCATGAAATATTTAACAAGAATACTATATATTAGTATATTCGATGAATATTATGGGTGTAAGAAACGGTTTGCTGTTTGTATAATTCTGTAGCATTAGAAGTTTTCAGAGAACTTGATATTGAGATTCCATTAGTAACTCGAGAGCATTCAGTACTTTAATAGTTACAGTCTCTCGTTTGATTTTCTTTTCTCACATTCTTTTGCCCTTATTTGCAAAACTTTTCTAGGATCAGCCACTCATTCCAAAGGGTCTCATAGAAAAGGTAAATACCTCAGCTTGGAAAGAGTCCTTCAAAAATTGTTTGCTTGTTAGATAAATGTTCTGTTAATATCTGTTCAAAGTGCAACAGTTTAAGGCTTGTGATTGCAACATTTCTGCTACAGAGCAAAGACAAATAATTGCACAAAACAATTGCAGGCATTGAAGTTGTGAAATTGACCAAATTAACAATAATAATAATAATAACCCTTGCATTTGGTATAGCACCGTTCACATCGGGAGTATGTCCTTGTGAAGTAGAGTGACTGTGTATTTGTGGGTAAACACGGCAGCCAATTGCAGTGTCCCATAAACAGCCATGAAGTGAGTGACCAACTTTATTTGGGGTTGTTGGCCGGGACACGAGGAGAAATTCCCTTATCTTTTCGAATAGTGCCAAAGGATCTTTAACATCCACCTGAATGGGCTGAAGGGACCTCAGTTACATTCTCATCCGAAGGACGGCAACTCCAACAATGGAACACACCTCCAGAACTGCATTGGAGTGTCATCTTAGATAATGTGATTTCAAGTCCCGACATGGGACTTGGGTTGAGCCCATAACCTTCTGACTTGGAGGCGAGAGTGCTCCTGAACCAGGCTGACAATAGTGGGGAATATGTGTAAGAATACCATTAACTTACAATTTAACAATTATGTGATTTACTGCCCCGCTACGATTCCACAACTATTTTTACTTTGTGGTGACTATTTAATAAGAATACATGATACAGTCATTCTACATTTAACATTGCATCCTTATTTAAAACATTTGAAGAAAACTATGTCTGTCTTGTACAAAATATAAAGCTTTTATGATGCTTGCTGGTGTTTGGCAACAATGGTTGCTCTAAGCACCTAGTTTTAATCATACTAATATTATTTTTACAATTAAAATATATAATTTTGCTTTTTGTTAAATATGCTGAATAAAAGTTATCCTTTACAGTTGTGCAATTACCCTGAGATTTTTGTGTCGTTGAGCTCCTACTGATGGGATATAATTGTTGAGACATACTCGGGTTTGAAAATATTATTAAACTAAAATGGTCAAGTGTTTGTTTTATATTCTGTTAAGCCATTGAACATTATTGTGTCGACAAAGGTAATTCAGCAATTTTTTTTGCAGTCCATTAAAATGTATGACTGGCCCGTATCCCAAATTCCTTTGGAATGGGCTCAGTTTGACACCATCTATGTGAGAAGCTAACAATAATACTAATTTGGCCAAAACTCTATTGCAGAGTCATTGGAAGCTGTTGCAATCGCACGGTGAGACCAGTGCAGATAGTGTCCTGTATACTGAAAACAACTACAAGTGAATAACTGGCAAGATATTCAGTTTCAGTTGGTTATACTGTACAAGTGCCCCAACACACGCACACTCTGTGGTCCCAAATCCTTGGCTCCTGCTAATCTGCAACTATGCTCGTGTGAGGCATTCGAGTGTTCTTTTCTTTAAATAACCTTGCACAATGCGGGTAAAAGTGGACCGTGAATTTTTAATGTTTTAATTTGAAACCTAGTTCTAAATTACATGACCAATCAATCTGCAATATTAACAGATTAAATTAGAGACAGTGAAGCCTGCGGTTACTGATAGTTCTCAGGCTGACCTTTCAGAACTCCACTCAAGCGCTGATCTCCTGCTGGACATCTCTCTTAGCCACAAATCGGCTTCACTGAATTGAAAAATGAGAAGAGTATCAGGGCATAGTGCCATAGTATCATTCTCAGCTACATCTGAGCAATTGCAGCGTTGAGCATTTGTGAATTCTTTTGCAAATCTTGCATTTTAGATCCCAGCGTTTTTTTTAAAGTGCTCTGTGAGGTTAAGCCCTGTGAAGGGTGCAATACAAATGCTTGTTGTTGTTGAAAAAAATCTACCTGGACTGGGTCAATGTGTTCATGAAATGGTTAACATATGTTCACTTACTTTTCTGCAGCAGTCATTCAGACTTTTTTTCAATGAGTGCTCTGTGTAAAAGAGCACCAATAGAACCATCAGATGTTATTGGTAACATCTGTTTCATCAGTTTTAAAGCGCTAAATGTGTATTTGTTGGTGAGACAAATGGCTCGAAACACTCTCAACCACTTGCGGGCAGTCCACTTTCTTAGCACAGCTTTCCACCACAGAAGAGCATTATTTATAACAAGTCTGCTCCCTCTCTTCCCACCTTGGATAAGTTTACCTAACGAGTAATTAATTTTGCTTTTTCTATTCCCATGTCCCTGGGATGGCAGATGTACCCATTCATGGTACCTGCAGTGACTGCAGCACTCTTTCCCCTGGCTAGTCACAGTGAAATTGTAGCAGTGTCTTTGGAGTGTCTTCACTCGCTGGTTGCGGCTTTAACAAAAGGGAAGGTTCACCAAAATAAGTCAAACTGCTGGTATGGGGGCGACCTCACAGGAACTGGGGACAAATAATAATAATAATCCTTGCATTTGATATAGCGCTTTTCACGTCGGGAGGACGTCCCAAAGCGCTTCACAGAACACACTGTAAAGTGAATTGACTGTATATTTGTGGGCGAACGCGGCGGCCAATTGCGCACAGCAATGTCCCACAAACAGTCGTAGATTGAAAATGACCAATTTATTATTGGTTTTGGTTTTTGGAGGGATTATTATTAGGCTCTGTGTGGAGTAAGGAAACTTGCCCAAGGTTTCGCCCTCTGCCTGGAATTGAACTCAGGTCTCTCACTTGCAAAGCGAGTTCTCTAACCACTGAGCTTCAGGACTCCACAAATACAAGTACAAGCACACACTCTGAGGTCATGTTATCATGTGAGGTCCACAGGAATCAAACTGACCCAAGGGTATGTGACCAAAATATACTCACCCTTACACTCTTATCATCAAGGAAAGAAGCAGGATTCTGCTGGGTCGAAGGAATTTTGATTTCCAGCAGTTATTGCGGTTAGGTTGCTGTATAAATTAACATGAGTTATGTGCTTTCATTCCTAATACCTTGTCCTGCTTTAATATAGTCAGCCATGTGGTAGGATTGATATTCTGGCAGAGGTCTTGCTGGTTCACAGGGTAATTCTTTTACACTGGATGCTCCGGATTCTGTTGCATGGCACAAAGTAAATAGGCCGTGACTAAAATCTATCAACTTTTTGCTGTCTGTAGGGCACCGTCATCATCAACTGAATGAAGAACAGCGGCAGAGAATCCTAGCACAATCCAGTAATTATTTAGATAATTCCCATCTCACTGACAATGGATACAAGGACAGCACATTTGAGACTTTAAGCCTGGATAGTTCTGACAGCATGGAGACCAACATATCTGCTTGTTCTCCTGACAACATTTCAAGGTAAATGACCTATTCTAATTGCATTGTCCTGACCATGAATCCTAACTTGTCCGATCAGTGACTTTTAATAAAGATTTCTTTGTTTAATCAAGGTTAATAATTGACTTCTTGTCACCACGCACAACTTCCACACAAAAAACAATTTTAAGATTACTATACGAATCCTGCAGTTGATGAGTAATTCTCTGATGGTCAGGAAAGTTACCAATTTTAGCAGAGAATAAAACTGCATTCTCACCCAAAGTTAGCAGGTTATGTAAATATTAAAGCATCTCCTTTTCTCCCCGTGACAGGCATAATTAAAATGGCAAACGCACTATTGCCTCTGATAGTTTAAATACAGTTTGAGCTTTATATGTGTTTTCTCGTGTACGAGGATTCACTAATAGCAAATATCACAGTTTTGTAGATTTACAAGCTTCTCATAAAGAAAACTGTTCTGGGCAACATGAATGTCCTGGGGCCAAGATTTGTGGTGTATAAATGCTAGATTTAAATCTGGTGCATACTCTTTTACCACCAGTCTTGAGGCTCTTGTTCATTGTATCCTCCCTTCTCAGCAGCCCTTGCAGCTCTGTTGCTTGACACCACAATGATTTTTTTTTGCATGATGGTAAGTAATAAAGTGCCAAAAATTATTTTGTATCCGGAGAACCAACCAGTAGAGCACTGACATGGGAAGATGGTAAATGTGACAATGTCAATCTCGATAATTCAGTTTAGAGGCACTGAAAACTGGAATGTGGGAGCCAGGAATAAATACATTTTGCCAGGGACTTCTTCTCCCCCAATCTCTCCCCACCCCACCCCCCCTTACCTTCCCCACCTCTCCCCCCCACCTGGATCTGGAAATATCTGGTCAATTGAACAAGTGAATGAATGCTTAAAACAACCATCAACAAACATAAGAAAAGTCAGCGTTAATGAAAAGTTGTGTTGATAGGACACATTGACATTTTTATTGACCATATACTGTAACTTAGAAGGTTGAAGGTTGAAAACAAAGCAACATAAGGAACCAACTATTTGCTGTTGTGTGTGCTGTTTTGAGCGTTTTAAGCTGGCAGGCGCAGCTGAAATAGATCTTTTTCCAGACGTCTGCTTCTCAGTTGCTGCCTTTGATGTGCAATAAGAATCGTCTGTTTCTAATTAATAACAAATGTAAGCACTTTATCATAATTTTCTGTGGAAAACCAGCATCGGTATCCCATCTTGAACACTCTGCTGTTTTCTGCAACTTTCCAATACTCTTGTTAAAAACTCTTGTTAAAAAAAACAATCCGACTTCCTGAAAGTCTCTAATGGTTCAGTAAAAACACAGCCCATTGTCCAAAATAAGGTTAAAAAACATGTGCTGTTTGTTGATTGTACACTGTGCCAGAAACATCTGTTTCTCTATTTAGGCACTGCTAGCAATATATCATGGCTACATACATGTGGTGTTGCAAATATCCAGCCTGTTATTGGAATTTATTTTAAGTGAAATGTTTGAGCGCTGAATATTTTGCAGGATGTTTTTTACATTTGCTTCTCTTCTACCCTGAAAGCTTTGGAAATCCATGACTTCTAAAGAGAAATTCCACCTGGGTATTGATTTACTTTATTTAACCCACAGTTTAGAGCACCCAGAATTTCAAAAGTTGTTGAATTCAGTCTTAACTTTGAAGTCAGTTTCCTGCAGTTCTTTAAAGAACTTACAGAAAATAAACTTCCAAATAAAGGGTGTATTTAAGAATTTACCAAATTCAGGACACTTTAAACTGCTGCATAAATAGAGTAGTCTACACCCTGTTGGAATTTCTCTCTGTTGTATCTGATGGTAAATGCAGTATTATAATATAAAAGCTGTTATTTATAAGAGTTTTTTATGTTATTTATAAGACTCTTAAATAAGAGTTTCTTTTAAATTTATGATCTATTATTTTTGTAGTTTCCATTTACCAGTGGCAGTTTACCGTAGGTTAGTCTTACAAAGTTAAGGTGGTTTTCTGAATTAATTTACGTTTAATTTATGAAATAGATATGCTTTTATTCTTGAAAAGCTTTATTTTATTTTCAACCTATTAAATGTAAAGTGGAATTTATAGTTGATTCTGTACCTGGAAGATGGTAAATCAGGGCTAACACCACTGATTTGTCACAGTTTGATGTTGTAAGCAGTAAAAGTTGTCCAATGAAACAGTATTGGTAAATATTGTCAAGGGGTCACAAGCCAGATTCGAACTACGTGACTACGATAACTGATTGCAGCAGTTTATCGTCTGGCTAAACAAAATGTGGAAACAGCAGCAAACGAATGTGGAGAACAGCAGCAGAAATAAAACAATAAAAATCAGTTGTGTTTCCCACAGTTGCTGTTGTTTTAACAAAAAAACAGTGTCAACCTCAAGTACTCGCACATTGGGTGTAATGGAGGTGACATAGATTAATAATAATACATGCATTTGACATGGCACTTATAATGTCAAGTGGAGTGACTATACTTGTGGGCAAATGTCGCAGACAATTAGCATGCAGCAATGTCACACAAATAAACATGAAGTGAATGAGCAACTTATCTTGAAAATTGTTGCTATTAAGTATCATGTGACACTGAGAGTCATATCATAATATATTTAATATCCACCTGAACAGGGATGGATGTGTGGGGTGTAGTTCCTCTTTGTGAATTGAGCAGAGATGTTTCAGTTAAATCCTTCATGACATCTTCCAAAAAATTTCTCGGGTGTGAATAGTATACACAATACTATATACAATAGTATTACGTCAAATTCAGGATGCAAGACCAGATCATACCATAGATCAATAAGAGCATAACATGGCTGAAGCAAGACAGTTATTCAACATTTTGATCAATTAAATTATTGACAATTTTGATCAATCAACAACAATAACAACTTGTGTGCATATATATATATATATACATATCAAATCCTACCATAGGTATAAAGATACAAGTTGAATTATAAGGGCCCAAATTCCACCTAGTTTTAGCCCATATGAGTATTTTGTCTTAGAATTTAAGATTGCAAGGAATTTTGGACAGTTCTTAAACTCAATCATAATTTGGAAGCCAATTTCTTAATTCTAAAATAAAAGATTAGATGGCACTTTAGGCTTAAAATGTCTACTTCTAGATAAAATAGACACAGACCTCATTTGTACTTAATAACAGTTTCTGTTAAAATGATTTAATATGAGAACAAAGTTGCAGCATTGACTCAACATTTCTCAGTTGGTTAAACTTTGCAACACAATGATTAACTTTATAATAAAGTTTGAAATCCCGTGAAGTATTTTGAGACATCTCACGACGTGATAAGAAGGTATATCAAATGCAAGGATTATTATTAATATTATTATTACTGCTACATCAAATGGTTTTGCAAAGATTGATACAACCCTGTCTTTACGAGACCAGATACCAGCAGCTGTTTGTTGCAGTCTCAGCTTTTAAATGTTAAGTGTTGTAGCACTTTGCTTACAATCAATTGCTTATGTTTTTGTTGTAGTGCGAGTACCTCAAATGTTGCTAAAATTGAAGAAATGGAACGACTTTTAAAGGAGGCCCAGGCGGAAAAGGCATGGCTAATAGAAACAAAGGTAAATTACAAATTGCTCTGCAGTAGCTGTGCTCTCAGAGCATGATAGGATCCAGAATATAGGATCTTCATAAGAAACGTAAAAACCTTAGCTTTTAGAAGAAATTGTTATCAAGACTTTTCTCTGTACTTTAGTGTACCGCTGTGAACATGCAAACCTGAAAACACCCCCAAGAAGCTACTTATTTGAAGCATTCTGAGACGCCACCTGGCGTGGAGGGTGCTATATAAATGCAAATTATTGTTGTTGTTGTTTAGTCCCAGATAGCTGTTGTATTCATTATCATTGTTCTGGTAATTTCAAACATTTCCTTTTTGAAAAAAATTTAGCCAGGCGACACTCTTTTTAAATAGTACACCATTGTAGTTTTAAGAGCAATCAATAAAATTGCTGTTTTTACTTGGCTGTCATATGATTTTTTTTAGTTTTCAAGAGCCTGTCCACTCCGCCTGCTATAAATTGCCATTGCCTCCCTTTTGTCCCTGATTATTTTTTTCCTTGCATACAGCAATGCTCCACCAGGATTCAGGTGGTTGTGCTCCTGCTCTTTGCTTTTTGACGTTGTGCTTAAACCTCAAAACACCTTGACAGATTATTTAACTTAATTTATACATTTATCAACGTCATTGCCTCATTATGTTAATTCCCCTTACCTAGTCTTTTCTGTTTTTTTTCTCTCCTCTGCTAAAGGCAGTGACCCATGCTGGTGACAGCCACTTGCTGGTACTTTGACCCCAAGTGTGTACCCCTCTCTTGGATGAGCGTAGAAGGTGGGCTCTTAAGAGATTGCTTTGTTTTTGGCAAAGTAAGATGAGTTCAAATTTGCCCACAAAATACAGTCAATCCACTTTACAGTACATCCTGTGAAGTGCTTTGAGACGTCTTGACATGATAAGGTGCTATTATCAAAATGCAAGGATTATTATTATTTTTACGTTGGGGTTTAGGAGCGAGAAATGGAAGCAAAAAAGCAAGCTTTGGAAGAGGAAAAGCGTCGACGAGAAGATCTTGAAAAGAGACTGCAAGAGGAAACACAGCGCAGACAACAGCTCATTGATAAGGAAGTCAAGATGAGGGAGAAGCAGAGGTCACAGGTCTGTGAAATATTTTTCACCGTCCAGGCAATATGCATGACTGAGTTGCATGTCCCACAACTGAAGTGCAATAGTTTGAGAAACACCTTCAATACAAATGTGTCTTAAATGGCAGATCCGCAAATTATCAAAAAAAAAATGTCATTAGCAATGTCAAAGGTGAAGATATATCTTATTGGAGCTTTTCATTGTTCTCAATGAATCAAAATGTACCCTTTTTAGTGTTAGGTTTCAACTTATGTGCACCACCCATTTCACCATCATGATATCGACTTAACATTAGAAGTTGTCATGATGAACCAAAAATAAACAGCACAACCTGACAAGTAGTCAGTAGAATTTCAGGTCTCAGACTCTAATTGGAATTGGATTGGAAAATAATAATAATAATCATAATAACAATAATGTGACCAGAATGACTTCAGGAGGCTGACTGTTCTCCTTTATTCCATAAAGGATCCTTACCGGCTCTTCTGAAGTACTGGAGCTTTACCTATGGTTTGAGGCAATTGTATTCCTTTCATTTAACATCTTTTCTTGTTCCACTGTTACTTGTGCTAATCAGATGATGAATTTCAAATAAAATCACTATGTCTTACCATATTTCCATACAGGCTCGGCCTTTGACCCGCTACCTACCAGTTAGGAAGGAAGACTTTGACTTGCGAAGTCATATAGAAACAGCAGGTCACAATGTGGAAACGTGTTATCATGTGTCTCTCACAGAAAAGACATGCAGAGGATTTTTGATCAAAATGGGTGGCAAAATTAAAACTTGGAAAAAACGCTGGTTCGTTTTCGACAGAACCAAAAGGACACTTTCATATTATGCAGGTACAAATCAGTCGGCTACATTGTGAAAATTAAAGTGTTCCATTTTCAGTCACAAGTAAATGACTAAGGCAGATAGAATAAGGTGGTTAAGAAGGATGCCACAGGGTAGTTTATATATTGTATACATCTTACTCTGAAATTATGAGAAATATTGTTCGGATTGACTCCATATTTGGCACCTTGTCAGCACCCATCTGTTTCCTTATGACAAGTGTCCTAATAGACAATGGGAATGTTCATAGAGAACGGTTGTTGGCTTTCTAGGTGCAGCTCACTGCACGTTTGGTGGTGTTGTGAGTGACTCATTTAAATGTGTATATCAAGGCATGATATCTGTGGCCAACTATAGTTTTTCCAAATGTATATGAAGAGTTTATGCTGAATTATTTTGTTCTTTCTGAAAAATACCGAAAATTGGCTTTAAGCTTTACCTATGTGTTGCAGAAATAGAACGATGTGCGTTAAGGGTTGAACGTTTCTCCACTTGATTTAATTTTAAACTCCAACTTCCGTTCAGTCAATTATCGAATTTCATCTGACCACATTTAAGAAGTTTAGTGGAAAATGTATTGAATCAAAAACCATGTTTCAGTTGTTGAAAATGAAAGCACTGACAGGTTACTTTTTTTTTACACTTCAGATAAACATGAAACTAAATTAAAAGGGGTCATATACTTTCAAGCTATAGAAGAGGTCTATTATGATCACCTGAAGAGTGCACACAAGGTAATGCTATTACTGAAATTTTTCCAGGTTTAAGTACATAGTCCAGACTTGGGCTTAGAAAAAGGTCCATCTAAATCTTTGTACTTGCCAGTACATTAAGGTATTTCAGAGTTGCTGTTTCTATGAGCCTCTTAAATAGGCCTGTTTAAATCAAGTGTGCCACTGACCGAAATGTGCAATAAAACATGTCAAGTGCACAGATGGAAAGTTACAGCATTTTTCGTCCTTGGCGAGCAGCGCAGACATCAAAAGAATGTACTGCCAAGTGGACCAAATGCAGTGAAATTCCATTAAGGAACATAACACATGTTTACCCAGGGTTGTTATCTCATCAACTATCTTGCAATACTGATGCGCTATCAGAGCTACTGCACACAAATGCACAGAATATTGCACAGTTAAAAAATAGATTTATTTGATAATATTCATAGCGTTGGGGAGAAATTCCACTTGGATCTGGACTGATTCTATTTTCTTAGCACTGTGGAGCACGCAGAATTTGGTAAATTGTTGAATTACTTTTAACTTTGAAGAGGTTTACAGAAAACTGGCTGCAAAATTAATAGTGGATTTAGGAATTTTGTCAATTTCTGGATGCTCTGAAATTCTGTACAAAATAGAGTAAACCTTGAGCCAGGTGTATTTTTCCCCCAATGTGTGCTTTTCACAACCTCTAAATGCTTTTTGCCAACATGATACTGGATCGGTGGGCAATTTTTTTCCCTATTGTAACATTGCGTCTAAATTTATAGACCCAAAAATACTACATTATAACTGGGATAGCTTGACATGTTTCATCATTTGGTTTTAATAATCCAAATCATTTTGCTCTTCACGTAAAACTAACATTTAAGGTGATGACACATCAGTATTGCATCCAAGGTAATAAATGAGTCACCAAAAGAGTCAAGAGTGTGTTGTGTTCAGTGTACCCCCCAATACACATCTGAAAATAAGGTGGTAACCATTTTGTTACATGCCCAAAAAAATCTTCCAAGTGTTTTGCTTGTTATACATAAGCACCTAAATGATCTTTGGATATTCCCTGAATTTAATCCCACAGGGGATCAATAAGTACAATGAAGGGTCTATTGCAAGAGTACCTTTCTAGTGAAAATATAAATTTCTTTCACAAGTTCAGAAACTATTCAATTCCTACATGTATACAATATTGGACTGTGAATTCTGATATGCACTCACACAATTCTTTCTCTTTTAGAGCCCGAACCCTTCGCTTACGTTCAGTGTAAAGACTCGAGACAGAATTTACTACATGGTTGCACCATCTCCCGAGACCATGCGAATTTGGATGGATGTCATTGTAACAGGGGCCGAAGGTTATACTCAGTTCATGCTATAAGCACAGAGTGCGCCATTATTTCAACCTCATTTTGCATGTAAAGCTGTGAGTTTTCATTATAGCTAAAGGCAGGTCTTCTAATTAATAACAAATATATTGTTATGATTTTATCTACATTAGCTTATATTTCTGACAATCATACCCCCTTATAATTATTAAAGTAACGGGTTAAGATGCAGTAGCCAATTTTTAACTGAAGGCTGCCTTACCAATTTTCGATAAAGCATTAAATGGTTTGCATAAAATATAGTTCAACTATATCACAGAATATAAACTGCCATTAATAATTTGATAAACATGTCTAAAATTATGACAAATGGCAAGAATGTCTTTGTGTGCTGCATAAGCTGCTACAATGTTATGTAATAAGGAAACTTTTTTTAATGCTTTCTCCAAAAAATAATCATTTTTATTTTGAGATAAGTAACACATTTTCAAAATAAGAATTGTAATGTTTAGTTTGAAGGTTCATGTTGTTAGATATATTTTGGTTTACAAATCGCAAGCTCCAATTCGATGTTTTGCAAGAAGAGCAGCTAATTCAGCAGTTTAAGTGCGGTGTTATTCATAGGGAAAAAAAATCATCAGAGGGATGTTGCACAGCTATCGAGGCTGAAGCCACAGTACCATTCAAAAGTGAATTGATTAAATATTTGAAGAGGAACAACGTGAAAGAACATGGGGAGGGAGCAAGGCATCAGGATTAGAATAGCTAGCTGCAGTGGAGGTGCTGGCACCAGCAGAGGTTTGATGGGCCGAATGTAATTTATATGATTCTATTTTGAATAATCTTTTTGGACGGTCTTTAGTAAGAGCTTCAAGAGACAGTCTGCCTTCTCCCACCATCTTTCACCGAGCTGGCTATTTTTGTTAACCACACAATCATCATAACCCTAATGTAAACCGTTTCTAGTTTGCTGGACAGAAATTCCTTACACGAGTTAACCATTGTCTGGGTTAAATTATTGTGTAATCCAAAGATTCAAAGCTTTTAGAGCAATTCTATTAATATAATAATAATCCTTGCAGTTGATGTAGCCCCTCATCACGTCTTCGAGACGTCTCAAAGCACTTCACAGAATATACTGTAAAATGAATTGACTGTATATTTTGTGGGTGAAATGTAGCAGCCAATTCTGCACATTAACAAATATACAGATTTATGGAAACTTGTGGCATAACTATTAATAACGCCTATCTTTATTAAACTGTAATGCTTATGATTGATATATTAAATATAAACTGTTGGAGTTGTAACACTTATTTCCACCGTATGCATTTCTGGTCTTATCCCAAATTCTCATGACCCTACTTTATATAACTGCTTACCTACAACAGTTACTTTGTTAATTATTGACTGGATCTTTTGTCAAAATCGTTGGACATTTTCAGATGTCTGAAAAGTACAAAAGCCCATGTTTAATATCAGTGCATTATTTTTTTCCAAGGACAATCCTTGGATTATCTAACAATATAAGATTTCATCTTTAATATAAACATGCAATCTTCCTCATTCATCCATCCTTCTATTATAATAGGATATCCAGAATGGAAATAAAAACAAGGTACTTTTCCCTTCAGGGTTCCAACCTCAGAAATCCATTCAAACAACCCTTGTTCCTCTGTTAGTTTTCTTCCATAATCAGTGGCAATATCCTTGCTGTTCTCTCCACGTAAGAAGACGTTTGATGTTCTTTGAATAACTGGAAGGTTTCCAATTGATTTTGACAATTTTATTTCTGGCAATTTTGACCATTATGGACTTTTCAGGTGTTCGAAATACAGGGAATTAAAATCCCAACATGAAGTACTTCCATTCAGACAGTGGTCTTCACCCAAAGTATTCAGTACTTACAGCTTTGCATTGACTACAGCAACTTAGGTGCAACCATTTGCTTAACAATTGGCACATCCAAAGTCCCTGTAGAAATTCTTCAAAGATTACTGTTCAGCAGATTTGAAATGTTCGTGGAAGAAGCGATACCCAATTTTTCTTGGAGAATCCTAAAACAATGGTTTTCTATTATTAGTGTACAGCTTCAGTTTCTCTAGGAAAAGTCTCATCAAGCTCCTTGCACTAAAAATAGTCATCCTTATTGTTGCATTTCTGCAGGACATGTAAATAACTCTTATGCTCTTGACAGTTGACAATCGTACACCGTTATAAGATTTCTGAATAAAATTGAATCGAACAGTTATTTATCTAGAGCAGTTAAAGGTGCTAAAAATTAATTTGCTGCCACAGTCCTCAGTTCACATTGTGTTCATGATTTTCAGGCTTTTGGTAGAATAATTATCTTACAGTGAGCATATGTCAAGTGTAAGATAAAATAATACCATCTTCAAATAGCATAGCAGGTTGAGCTATTCAATGTGCTTCATAACCTAACATTATGATTTAGTTTAACTTTGCCTCTGTCCCAATCTAAAATGGAATTCCCGCAGTCATTGTTCAATTTACGTCAGTTCATCTCAGTTCATTCTCCCCACTGCCATCTTTGTAAAAGAACTAAAGAAAGTCTAGAACAAGGCTATTTATACAGCATGAAGTTGGACGAGACTGCAAGGATCTTCAGGGGTTTGATATATCCTATTTTATATGGAAGATTAACGTCAATCAAAGAATGCAGAAGTCACCTAAGGGAAAAAAGCTTTTTATTGACTCAGGCTTTCTTGTTCAATGGTCAAAGCCAGGATAAATTGTCATATTTCAGATGATTTGATTGGATTTAGAGTACATTTATTAGATTGAACATAGGATTATTGTTTCAGTATAAAAATATACAATTCATAAATGCATTGAAAGTAGCTGATCAATAGTTATCATTCTTATATGGTTGTGTTTGTGAATTGGTCATTTATACATGCATCTAAGTGGATTATTTATTCTTTATGCCCAGTGTATCGCCATAGTTTTTGTATATTACTTGCATATTTTATATGTCTTTGGTTTACAAATGCATGTTGCAAGAAGTCTATGAATAAAACACAAAAATCTATTCCAGTTTCCTCAATTAAATATTACGGCTCTTTACATAATATGCCTTGAGTGATTACAACAAAATAAAAAAGATGGAGATGAAGGAAGGCCTTTCAGTCTATCCTATAAATGTTGTAGTGTCTGATTTTTAATGCTGGTATAAAGTAATGCCAGTGGTAATTATCCTCGTAACTTGCATTGAGTGTGAACCTAGTGTAATGCACTAAATGGTCAATAGCTGTCAGCGTCTCCAAAACAGCTGACAATAAAGACATCTCAGCTGAAGGAGTCTGATATAATGGACAATCAAGGTGCACACATGCCATGTGGGAATAGCAGAAAGTATGTACAGTCACGTTTAATGGAGGGAGGGAGGCTGTTAGAACCCTATCAGGCTGAGGTGGAAGCCATTTCCTAATGGCCAACTCCCAAGACCAAAGGCAAGTATGTACATTTGTAGAAAATGCTTTGCCTGTCCATGTCTTGTATGAACTTTTCTGTCTCTGAGAATAACTTTAATATTTAAATACTGTCAGTAGATTGATCCCTAGTTGAACTAAGTGTGAGTTTCTTGATTGGTTGGCCTGTTCTCTCGGGAAATCCCTTGTGAGATGTTCCCTGAGTGTGAGCATTAACACAATGAGGGAAACCCTTCTGCCTGAGTATAAGGAAGGGGCTGATGTTCAATACAATTGAAGGAAGCACTGAACTCCAACTTAAAAGGAGATGCTGTCCGTGAGGTGACAAAAGTCTGTGGTACTTTCTGAAGTTAAAAGTAAAATTCCCTGCGTTGATTTTGTTTTATGTTCCACCCATCATATAACAACAATTTGTAAAGTGCCCCTCGTGCAGGGTAGCATTTCAGAGTGCATATCCACGTTTGACAAAGAAAGATCTGCTTTAGACCACCACGTGTTTTACTGGTTTCTGTATCTACACTTCAAAGACTAAAGTCTCCATCCAGACTTCATCACAAGAAGATGAAGGACAAGCAAACTTGCAGAGCTATAGGGAGAGCGTGGGTGGGGGGGGTATGGAATTAGATAGCTCTTTTCAAAGAGCCGGCACAGACATGATGGGCCAAATGGCCTCCTTCTGTGCTGTATGATTCTATGAAGAATGGCGGTGACAGCATCATACAATAAATTCCTGATACCTCATCAAAAGGGCTCTGTGACTAGTTATCCGGAGGCATAGGTCCTCCCGAGCTATGAGGGGGTGATGTGACTAGTGCAGGCACCCAGTGGGGGTTGGCCTTGCATGTTTAGATGCATCTCACAGGCTTCTGGTCTATTGAAGGGTGGATCTGGGGCCTCCCACCCTACCCTATTGCAAAGGCGTCTGTTCTATTGGCGAGCTCTGCCAAGGCCTCTTGGGATAAGGTGAGGGAGGAGGCCATGTTGCAGCCCTCCAATTGACCAGAGGCCTCCGCAATGTATCTGAGCTCGAACGCCCAACCTTTGCCGAGCTCCCGCACCAGTCACAGAAAGGGTGGGAGGCCTTTGTGATGCAAGACGCCATTTAATAACAATTTTACATTGTAAGTACTTACATGAATTTCTAGAATGTGAATCGTAATGTGTTAATACAATACAATGTTACATTTGTATAGCAGCTTTCACGTCGGTAGGATGTCCTAAGGCACTGGACAAGTTAAGCAGAGTGACAAGTAAAGCAAAGTCCCTCATTAACATTTTGAATGGAAAGCTGCCAGACTATTGACAGTATAACTGCCTAAGCAGTTGTGACCAGTTAAACCAGTGTCTTGTTAGCAGGAACTTAGCCAATAAGCACATTCAGTCAGACAAGCATATTCAGTCAGGTTAGTCTCCCATGTGTGGCAGCAGTGCAATAATACCTTTGGTTAAACGCAACAACTTGAGCTGAGAAAGACTGCCTATGTGAATAGATTAAACAGGAAATGGAGGGGTATGGGATGGAGTAAAAGAATGGGTAAAAAAAACTAGTGTGGAGAAAAAACACCGGCAGTGTCTGATTGGGGTGAGGGGCCTGTTTCTGTGCTGAATATTCTTTGTAAATCTTTGTGAACCAACAAGGGACCAGAGGAAAAATGTGAAAATGTTGAATAGCCAGAAAGAGAGACATGACAAGTATAGGATTGTGAATGTTCTAAGTGGAAATGGTGTGACAATGTTTCATATAGAAACAACTTGCATTTATATAGTGCCCCTCACACAGGGCAGCGGCTCAGAAAATTTACAACTAGATCGGCAAAATAAATGTAAAGGGTTGAAGGAGTGACTGGGAAGCAACAGACGTTGGTTTCTGATGGAAGTTGTTCTTACCCTTTCACTTTCAAACATGAATCTTATTTTGTAGCACTACTCACTGCAGATATGGTGCAGTACTTTAAATGTCCACGTAGCCAAACTAAAACGAACGATGATGAATATCTCAAACTGGAAAGACAACATGTAGTAGACGTACATCAACAGACAATCTGTTCAAGTTAACTAAAAACAAATCCTTTTTTTTACCACCATATGTGCAAAACAGAAGTTATTAATCATTTTAGAATTAAGTTACAATAAATAATAATAATCCTTGCATTTGGTATAGTGCCTTATCACGTCTCAAAGTGCTTCACAGAATATACTGTAAGTGGAATTGATTATATTTTGTGGACAAAACAGCACATTAGACCACAGATCAAAAATGGGTTATGATTTTTTTTTCCCCCTGCAGTATTTATCTGGTAAGTTGACTCAATCTTTTATTTTTGTCACTTACTTGTGTGTCTTCCATACCAGTTCTTTAATTTAATTTTAAATATATATTTTAATTTAATTTTAAAATATATTATTTTAAATATATAAATAAATATGAAATGTGAAATTTGCGGCCAGTTGCCTCTTTCCCCTCCAAAGTGTAACTCTTCATTTCTGAGGTTGTGTCTGACTTGCTCTCTTACATCCAGTTTGGATTAATGCAGTTATTAATAATATTTATTCAGAAATTAGCTTGGATTTAGATTTGTTTGTTCAGTTATGTTGCAATTGCAAAGTGTGCCTCAGTCTTCATTAACAGAAATACAGCATAAGTC